ACGCACGTTTTGCATGAGCCATGATGTATGTGATGCATACCCTAGCAATACAGATTTNTGTAAAAATGTCTGGGTCTGGAAGATTCTGACACTTGTCACGCACGTTTTGCATGAGCCATGATGTATGTGATGCATACCCTAGCAATACAGATTTTTTGAGGGCTTCTTAATGCGTATTCCGCACGACAAAGGCCTTCTCAGCGTAGCAAAAATTGCATTTCCTTTGGTACTCATGCAATACAGATTTTTTTGGAATCCAAATACAGCATCACAAGTTGCGTTCTTCCAGACCCAGACATTTTTGCATTTCATACACCAAGTGCAAGTGCAAGTACTAGTAGTACTGACCGCATTATAAATTTGCTAAGCATGCCAAAAGGAATTTCTCATGCTGATTTGCCTTGAGAAAGTGAAAGAGATTTGTGATGCATAATTGCGATTACTACGAGTGCGATACTTTTGCACAGGATACATGTGAAGAAAACGGGCTTCACTCCGATCGGACACTGCACGGGCGCGCACCTCAGGGCGCACAGCAAGCGGTGTTCAGGGAGCGATCATACGGCTCTTCAAGTGCTCCCCGTATGGATTGCAAATATCCCTGGATGTCTAGAAGATTGCAACTTGTCATGCTAATAAATCCGAATCATGCAAAAATCTGTCTTGCATGAGTGCCAAAAGCTGGCCACTGTCAACCAAGTTGGGAGGGAGTTTCTCATGCAGGATAGGCATAGGCATGACAAAGACAAAGACCTCACAGACTCTGTCATGCTTGGTCCCGCATTCCAGACCTCATGGGTCATGGAAAACATGGATGACAAGTCTACACTCTTCCAGACTACCTAGACATACTTGCAGTTCATATTTCGGACTGGGTTACGATCGCTGCCGCGCGCGTTGCAGCATGAGAAACGGCGAGTGCACGCACTTTGCGCTGGAACAGCCGGCGGGCGGCGACGTCGTGTGCACCCTGTTTGATAGCGCTATCCTGTGCAAAAGTATCGCGCTCGTTGTATTGCGATCATGCATTACAAATCTTTTTCTTAAGGTAAATTCGCATTACAAGAAATTTTATTTCTCATGCTGAGGAAATTTGTAATGCATTTACTTATACGAATACGATACTTTTGCAGTTCATAAGCGCGACCTGTGCAGAAATGGATCTGGACCACGACTTTACCTGTGACATGAGCGCGACGGAAACCGGGCTGAACGGGGAGAAAATTCCCCCGAACGCGGGGAGTGATATCCTGTGCAAAAGTATCGTACTCGTACTAATTGCAATCATGCATGACAAATCTTGTTTCTTAACGAAATCAGCATTACAAATTTCGTTTTTCCTTCTGGGAAAATTTGTATTGCGATTTATACTAGTACGATACTTTTGCACAGGATAAGTGACCTGCCGCACCAAGCAAACTGTAGGCTGATCTACAAATGTATGGAACTGTCAGGATCGAAATCGTCAAAGTTGAAATGATTTGTCATGCATAAAATGAATGCCAGTCGGAACCCAGTTGTCATGTGGCGCATGACAAATCTTGGCGGTGCCTAATTCCAGTTTGTAATGCTGCTTGGGCAAGGAAGAGGCCTTTTGTCATGCTACTTTAGCAACTCTATTTCTACCCCTCAACAGGCTTACAATCTGCCTCCCTTGCATACTCTGCAGTAGAGGCAACTTTTGTGTTGCATTTTATGCATTACAACTTTGACGATTTCAATCCTGACGCTTCCATAAAATGTGGCTCTCCCTCTGGCGAGTCCGCCTACGAACACCGCGGCGCAAGAGGGTGCTCTATGCATTGCAAAAGCATCGTACTCGTAGAAATACATGACAAATTGTCCCCGCAGCATGAGAAATCAAATTTGTCATGCGGATTTACCTTGAGAAAAAAATTTGTAATGCATGATTGCAATTACTACGAGTGCGATGCTTATGCTTTTTCGCTGGATATTTTCCTCTGCTGCTTTTCCACAGTGTGACGGTGCGGTCTGCGATGAAGGTGAGTTCTCCACGTCCCTCTCTTGGCTATGCATTGCAAATATGGCTGGGTCTGGAAGGATGTAACTTGTCATGCCAAATCTGAATCATGCAAAAAATCTGCGTTGCATGAGCACCAACAGCCGTCCTATTTTACCAAGTTGCGAGGGAAGGTCTCATGCAGGATAGGCATGATGGAAATCTCGCAGAATTTGCTATGCTAGGCGCGGCTGCATTCCAGACACCATGGGTCATGGAAAACCTGCATGACAAAGCTGGCATCCTTCCAGACCCGTACATATTTTCATTTCATATTGGCAGCAGGTGTTCGACGCCGGCGTACTGCGGGAACCACCTATGGATGGGTCAGGTGCGAAATCGACAAAGTTCAAATGATTTGTCATGCATATAAATGCGACACAAAGACTGACTCCATTGCAGAAGACGCAAGAAGGGACGCAGCTTGTAGTGCTGGTAAGGGTCAAGAATTGGGTTCTTGCTGAGTAGCATGACAGGGGGGCACCCTCTTGCCCTAAACAGCATGACAGACTTGCTTCAGAGTGGCCAGGAAAATTTGTCATGTGCCGATTGGAAGAACCTGTGGATCCAAGCAACTGGGGTATAGATTTTATGCATTACAAATTCTATATTTTTTCAACTTTGTCTGTCAATTTCGATCCTGGTAGATCCATACCACCCGTATACGGCGCAATTAGTTCGTGCACGGAAGTGGGGTGCGAGCGGATGTGCGACGTCCGCAACGACTGTCAGGCCTACATGCAGCACACAGCAAATACCTGCGGCTGTCTGCTGATCTTCACCACGCCAGATAGAAAATCCCAAATTCAGGGCATGCTGGACATCACGATATAACCCGCTCAGTTGTTACAATCTCAAACGTTACAATAGAGTATGGAAATCTGTGATGCAAAAGGTGCATGACCTAGCCTACTCCCACAGCATTGTGCATGACAAGTTCTGGGGTCCCAAACCGCACTGGAATCTGGCGAGATTTGAATTGCAGAAAGTGGAACGCTGTGCGGGTCTGTCATGCTCATCATGCAATACAAAATCCAGACTGTATTGTAGCGTTTGAGATTGTAACGTTTGAGCGTGTCATACACGACCTGGGTCTCTTCTAAATGCCGGGTCAAGCCCGCGAATACTGAGGTAATCACGACTATGGAAGCGTCAGGATCGAAATCAACAAAATCGAAATAATTTGTGACGCATAAAATGCATGACGCGACGTGCGTGTGTTGCAGAGCAGGCAAGTGAGGCCGATAGTGAGCCTGTTTGGGGTTAGAGCTCGAGCTGCTAAAGTAGCATCCGAAAATCAGTCCTCTTTGCCTAAACAGCATGATAAACTGGATTTAGGGACAGCCAAAATCTGTCATGCGCCACTTGAAAACTGGGTTCCAACTGGCATCCATTTTATGCATGACAAATTTTTCGATTTTGTCGATTTCGATCCTGACAGTTCCATAACGACCACGCCAGCCCCCGTGCGGATTTGCGAGTGCGCCCATGGCGTGGTCAGTCAAGAGGATTGTTTATCAAATGTAAAAATGTCTGGGTCTGGAAACTTGTGATGCTGTGTGGCGTATCATGAGGAGGCGACAATTGCTGGCTCAGCATGACAAATTTCTGAGCTTCTAGGTGTTGCCTATTCTGCACGACAAACTACGTTTCTGCATGACAGAAAAGTGGGGCTCTTTGGTAATGTGCACGACAGATTTAAGAGTCATGCCAAACAAGCATGAAAAACTTGTAAAAAAAAAAAAAACAAGCATGACAAACTTGCATTCTTCCAGACCCAGACATTTTTACATTTGATATTGTGCCGAGCACGGAAGGCAGAGCTGCGCCTCGTGTGACGCCGGCTACAAGCTTCGAAGCCATTACATGGAAACGTCTTGCTGGCCGACCTGCGGCCCAGTTGACTCCTGCGCGGGACTGGAGACGGGTTCGGGGGCGAACAAGGTCTACTACATCAGGACCGGCTATACACACGACTACTGTGACGTTACACCTACACAGGCCTTCGCGGAGGCGTACCCAGAAAACGGCTGCCGACAGAGCTGCTGCACGCAGGGCTGTAAGGTCCCCACGGCGACGATTCGCGGGAAGCTGGATCTGGGAGACGTATGGAAGCGTCAGGATCGAAATTATCCACAAAATTAAAATGATTTGTCATGCGGAAGGTGTAATTAAAACGTCTCACCTTGTATCAGAGAACTACATTGGTCATGCGATCATCCTTGTGCTATCGATAATACCGTATCTTCCGTAGACTTAGTCTCGTAATAAATGCGACGACCAGGCTCTTCGTCTTTCGGCTTCAAGAATACTTAGTCGTGTCAGCTTCTGCCAGCCGGCGGGTCGGAAAAATGATTTCGAGATGAAATTATGGCGTGTATTATTTCTAACCTCCCCAACCCCTCCGCACGTCCCCCCCCAAGTGCAGGATAAATGACGATGATGATGAGAACGCCCAATACAAAAAGAATTTCTGCATGGAATGAAGCAGAAGTCAAGTTTTTTTTTTCTCTCCACTACTGGTGCGCTCATCTACTCTACGAGAAATCGAAATCTTCGCTCTGGGGCCACGAGCAGCAGGGTCTTAGGCTTTATTTCTCGAAGCTTTGAAGAAAATTATATTGGTCTCTATTCAGTTTATCCCGAAAAAAAACTCTGTGAGTGTAACTTTTACTTTCGTGGGGTGACAGCATGACAAATTTATTCCACATGACCGAGAAAACCTGTTGTAATGCGTGGCTAGGATGTGAAAAGCAAAAGACACATGAAAAGATGGTTTCGTGGCTGTCTGGCATGACACGTGTAAACTTTTTTGCATTTTCTGCATCACAGACTTACACCCACACAGGAGTTTTTTTCTTGCATACACCTACAAGACTCGACCACGAGCAACTGCTTGCACGTTCTCAAAATGATGGAGCTCCTCTCGTCGGGTTGTACTAGTAGTGCCAGCACTACGTCCTCGTCGTTGTCTTCTAAAATGAGGCGGAGGAGTGGTCTGTCCACTGGTACTAGTTCTTACCGCGCCGCGGCGGTTTTCTTGACGACGTACTTGAATTTTCACCGAGAAGATGAACACCAACACACCACGAACTACACGTCCGTCCCGTCTGAAACCTCCACGAAAGCAAACAGCTTTGTGGCTGCCCTCTCGTTCTCAGCGGAGAAGATGAAAACCAAAACCACGGCTCGCTCTAAAAAGCGGAATAAAGCTGCCCTGGAGCTGGTGCGCCGTCGGAGCCGCGAAGGGAAAAGTAGTGACAAGGGCGATGTTGAACAAGAGGAAATAAGTCGCGCTAGCAGAAGTGCTGGCACTGCATCTCCTGGTTTGAAAATTATACCTTCAGCACCACGAGCAGAAGAAACTGCAGCGGTCGAAGCAGCACCTTCCCGAGCAGAGGTGATCAGCGCCAGCTTTCACGACTTCGAACGCCAGACGCACCTGCAGGACGGCGCAACAGAAATAAAATCTTCGCAGTTTCTGCAAGAACAACTACAGATGACAAGAAGCAAAACGACACGACACACCGAATCTACATCGAGCTTCGAAATTGAGTACGAAAGCATCGGGAACGGGTGGTGCGCGCATTCCGTCTACGCACCAACGGGTTTCGAACACGAGCAATATTACCACCGCACGGATTCTGCCACCTTTGGCAGGGATATCTGCGACGCGAACGCAAACTGTCCCGCGTACCAAACCTCCACGGACGTATGGATCTGTCAGGATCGAAATCGACAAAGTTGAAATAATTTGCCATGCATAATGAAAATGGATGCCAGGGGTAACCTAGTTTCCAAGTGGCGCATGACAAATTCGGGCAGAGCCGAAATCCAGTTTGTCATGCTGTTTGGGTAAGGAAGACGGCTTTTGTCATGCTACTTTAGCACCTCAGTTTCTACCCTTCAACAGGCTTACAGTCTGCCTGACTTGCCTACTCTGCAAGACAGGCACTCATCTGTGGGCTGCATTTTATGCATGGCAAATCATTTCATCTTTGTCGATTTCGATCCTGACACATCCATAGAGCGGCAAGGGGCTCTACAATCATCTGGTCCATTATCCAGACGGTGATGCATTTACGCCCGTGTTGCCGAACCTCGTGTACGCACAGCCCAGCCCACCCCTCGTATCCTGTGCAAAAGTATCGTACTCGTATTGCAATCATGCATTACAAATCCTTTTGCTAAGGTAATTCTGCATTTATACAAATTTCATTTCTCATGCTGAGGAGATTTGTGATGCATTTAACCGAGTGCGATACTTTTGCAGTTCATACCTCGATTCCTGGAACCATTACGCTTGCATGGTGAAGAAGACAGGATTACTGAGAGGAAAAATCCCCCCACCCGATATCGAAAAGGTATGTTTCCGAAAATTTTTTGTGTTGGTGATTTGAGACCACAAATAACGTCTGTCTTGCAAGAAGACAAGTGCAGCAGAGGCTTCCGCGCCATTATGGAAGCGATTGACCATGCTGCTGAGCCTAGGGGACAGGAGCCCTGTGTAATGCTAAACAACCAGACCCAAAGCGAAGGCCCCTACCTAGGCTGAGGATCTGGCTGCGATGCCGTATTGCAAGACAGCGCGCATTTGTGTACGGAGTTCCAGCATCAGAAACTTCGTCTCGATATGGGGAGGGGGGATTTTTCCTTCGGATAAGGATTTATCCCCGTCGGACACTGCGGGACCACGCATCTGGTATTAAATGCAAAAATGTCTGGGTCGTCTGGAAGATTGCGAGGCTTGTCATGCGTGTCTGGCATGACTAAAAAGTTTGTGATGCGTGTCCAAGAAGAGACCCTTTTGCCTGTCATGCAACAACGCAGTTTGTCATGCGAAAAACGCAACACAAAGGAGCGCAGATATTTCTCATGCTTGGCTGTGCATTACAGAGCATTCACTATTCCCAACGCAGCATTACAAATTTCCAGACCCACACATTTTTACATGTGATATCTGGCTGCCCACAGCAAGAAGTGCTCTGGCTGGGGTACAGAGACGGAGCTTCCGGGGGACATGGGCGGGTATGACAACTGCCGTGCCCGGTGCAGTAAGCATACAAACTGCAGCCATTTTTCGCTGGTAAAGCGAGCAAGCGGCGTCGTCATCTGTTCCATTTACGACGACGCGGCTTGCAGCGAGTATCAGGACGAGAATGTCCAGTGTGACATGAGCGCCGCGGCAACCGGTGCTATGGAAGTGTCAGAATCGAAATTGACAAAATCGAAAAATTTGTGATGCATGAAATCGATACCAGTTAGAGCCTCAGTGTCCGAGTGGCGCATGACAAATTTCGGGAGCACCCAAATCCAGTCTGTCATGCTGTTTGGACAAAGAAGACTGCGCCTGTCGTGCTACTCTGGCAGCGCATTGCATACCCCTAAACTAACAGGCTGACAATCGGCCTCATTTGCCTGCTCCCCAATACAGGCCTGCAGTGCCCTACATTTTATGCATAACAAGCCTTTCGATTTTGTCGATTTCGATCCTGACACATTCATAGGTGCTAGTGGGGAGTTGATTCCGCCCAACGCGGGGAGCGACAAACCGCACCAAGTCGATTGCAGGCTGACCTATAAGTGCGGCCCACGGGACCCTCACCTATGCACTGCAAAAGTATCGTACTAGTATGAATCGCATGACAAATAATTTCCTCAGCTTGAGAAATGAAATTTGTAATGCGGGTTTAACTTGACAAAACAAATTGTAATGCGTAAATGCGATTAGCACGGGTGCGATTATACTGTTGCAATGCATATCACCCCCAGTATGACAACGTCGGCGACAGCGGCTGCACTGTTGACGAGGAGTCGCCATTCATCCTGAACGATGCTAATTTCGGCTGGAAAACTGCGTATCAGACGGTGTCCGGCTGTTCCCACCAGGTGAATGCAGTTCCGAACTGCAGGTACGATCCTACCTGCACGGAGCAAGGTTGTGAAGAGTTGTGCAACATTCGCGCCGATTGTCAAGCCTACATGCAGAGCCAGTCCGAGAATTGCGACTGCAGATTGATCCTTACCACGCCAGAGCACAAACACCGCATCCTCGGTCGGTGGAGACACATCAAAGACGGCCTCTACGCGGGCTATGCCCCATACCAGTGGGACCATGCTACTTGCTGGCGCAGGCCGGGCGGCAGTTCGGAGACTACACTCCCGACGACGCCGGCCCCCTTGGCGGTTTGCGACTGCGCCCAGGGTGTAGCTAGCCAAGACCCCTCCACGTGTGTCGGACACGGAAAGCAAAACTGCGAAAGCTGCTTATCCTGAGTAAGAAAAAAGTCCCCACGACCCCATAGCTGTAAATGCAAATCTGCATGCTGGAAATGTTTCTCATGCGGAGCAGCCCTATGAGCAGCATTTTCTATTTGTGTTTTGGAATTAGTCATGCTCCACATAAGCATGCTACACTAGTATACCTGTGATGCTGCTGAACAAGCTAAACAGGATTACACTTCTACGAGGCCAAACGTGTCATGCGCAGCAGCCAAACCAGGTTGATTTGTCGAGCAGATTTCCCAACTTGACTATGTTGGGGTGGGGACGTTTATTTTTGCTCAGGATACTGCTACTTCCACTCCGATTACTGGAAGCTTCGCAACAACTGGCCGAGTCAGGGAGAAACTTCGTGCTGGCTATGAAGCTCTCAAATCGGTTACCTTCTCATCAACTGTTATATATGATTTGTCATACAAAACGCACACCAGCATCTTCCACACGATGAAACTACTTCGCATGACAAAGTTTTGAAGGGCTAAGCAGCATCAAAATCTGTGCCAGATTTGTAATGCGAGAGGTGCAAGCTCTATTCTACTTGCATCACAAATTCATGTAACAGTTGAGAATGTAACATTTGAGAATGCCACACTGGCCGATCTGCGCTTGGGTTGGAGATTCCTCCTGCCAATCAAAAGAGACGGGTACGGGGGCGAACCGGGTCTACTACATCAAAACCGGTTATGGAAGTGTCAGAACCGAAATTGACAAAATCGAAAAATTTGTGATGCATAAAACCGATACCAGTTCGAGCCTCAGTTTCCAAGTGGCGCATGACAAATTTCGGGAGCACCCAAATCCAGTGTGTCACGCTGTTTGGACAAAGAAGACTGCTCCTGTTGTGCTACTCTGGCAGCGCATTGCATACCCCTAAACAGGCTTGCAATCGGTCTCATTTGCCTGCTCCCCAATACAGGCCTTCAGTGCCCTACATTTTTTGCATCACAAGTTTTTCGATTTTGTCGATTTCGATCCTGACACATCCATACCGGTACTGAAAACTATTACAATGAAAAATGCCTCCACCCCAAGATTTGCGCAAGTTTCTCATGCAAAAGGTTTTCTTCAAATGAAGAACTTTTTATCTATGCGTAAAAGGACTTCTACGAGCCTCTCTGATGCAGAATCTAAGTGCGCATCAAGGTATCTTTTGCATACCAGATCCGGCTTTTGTTGGGCTCCTTTGCAGCAGCACAAATTTGAGCTATTCACAATGGCGAACTTGTGATGCTGATAGATGCAAGACCACGGGGAATGTTTTCATTGGGAAGAAGGTTTGATAAATACAAATAGTGGGGGTGGGGACATCGACATTTTTCATTGTAATACAAACACGTACTGTGACGTCACTACCGACGAGGCCTTCGGGGCAAACTACCCGGAAGCCGGCTGCCTCGCCACCTGCTGCACGAGGGGCTGTAAGGTGTATCAAATGTAAAAATGTCTGGGTCTGGAAACTTGTGATGCTGGGTGGCGTCTCATGGTGAGGCTATAGATGCCGGCTCAGCATGACAAGTTTCTGAGCTCCTAGGTGTTGCCTATTCTGCATGACAAACTGCGCTTCGGCATCACAGAAAAACGGAGCCCTTGGGCAACGTGCGTGACAGATTTAAGAGTCATGCCAGACAAGCATGAGAAACATGAATTCTTCCAGACCCAGACATTTTTACAGTTGATAAGGTGCCCACGGCGACAATTCGCGGGAAACTTGATCTGGGAGACGTATGGAAGCGTCAGGTTCGAAGTCCCCACATTTGAAACAACAATATACTATTTAAACTGCAGCAGGCCAGGCCAGAACTATTGAAGCCTTCTTGGGGTGTGTTCTGAGGTATGCAAAGTGGCTGCGCAGGAGCATCGTGATTTGTAATTGGCAGGCCACACCCCAAAACACACCCCCGGCACACACCCCAGACACACCCCCGACACACCCCCGAACACATCCCCGGCAGAAACTGAAGCACGCCCCCGGACACATCACCCCAGGCAGAAAGCTGCATGGCTTCCAATGATGTGGAAGATAGAAATACGCGAAGACAAGCAGGCCCACCTGGGACGAGGGCAGCCCCTACAAATTCAAAAGCCGCCCCCGTGCTCCTTCGGGGTGTGTTTGCATGCGCCGAAATTTGTCATGCGCCGCTTACACAATACCATTCCCGCAGCAGCACAGTCTGTTTATGTCATGCGCCGCTTACAAATTGGTCTTCCAATAAATGTTGTGCATCGATCATTTTGTGCAACATCGCAAATATGATTTCAGCTTTGTCGAAGATTTTGATCCTGACGCCCCCATAAGCCGGCGACCTAGCACATTACTTCGCCGCGGCGCTGCGTTCGTCCCATTTGACACCCGGACAGGGGCCCTGGTACGCAATTCCGGGTGTGGGTTGCAGCGACGAATGGAACCCTGCTCATACACCGACGTTCTATTGCAGTTCGGGAGGCGCTCCGCTGGCGATGTTCACAGGAATATCAAAAGGAAAAATCCCCCCTCCCCATATCAAAACGGAAATTTGTGATGCTGATTTGTGGCCACAAATCAGCTCTGTATTGCAGGGAGGCACTGCGGCCAGATCCCCAGGCTAGGTAGGGGCGTATGGGTCTAGTTGTCCAGCATGGCAAACGGCTCCCCTCTAGGCCCAACAACATGACAAATCGCCTCCATAATGGGGCGGAAGCTTCTGCCCTTGTCTTCTTGCAAGACAGATGTGATTTGTGACCTCAAATCCGCAACACAAATTTTTGGAAACACACCTTTTCAATATGGGGAGGGGGGATTTTTCCTCCCAATAAGGAAGTTGCACGCAGAAAACGTGTCGGTGCCCAAACGGCGTCAAAGGGGGAGCGTGCCTATCAACTGTAAAAATGTCTGGGTCTGGAAGAATCCAACTTGTCATGCTGGTTTTGGGTTCTAAAAATATCTGTATTGCATGAGCAGCAAAGTAGAGAGTCCAAGTTTTACCACACGGAAAGAGCATTTGTCATGCGGTATAGGCATCAGGAAGCCCTCACAAAATCTGTGACGCTAGGGCATGCATCACACACATCAGGAGTCATGCAAAATGTGCATGACAAGCCTGGCAATCTTCCAGACCCAGACATTTTTACGCTTGATAGTGCCCCAAGCATAACGACATCACCTGCACGTCGTGCTCTGACGAGTCGAAATACCGCATCCGGGCACATTTTCCCACCACGGGACAAACCTCCTGCTGGCCCACGTGCGGCTCTTCGACGAACCAAAATTGCGCCAGTAAGGAGGGCATCTTGGGCGATCCGTTCCGCGTTTATTACATTCCAACCGAGGACGAGGACGTCTATTGTGGCGACGACGCCTATGGGGACTCGGACGCGGCCCGAAGCGCACAAAGTGGTTCCTACCCCGCCACCAAGTGCCGCAACAGTTGCTGCAGGATGGGGTGCAGAAGCCCGAGCACCCTGCTAGATCCCATGCATTCGCAGCGGCTGGGCCGACTCAACTACGGCTCAACCGTCTGGAGGGAGAACCTCCGCACAACGCGTATGGGGTTCTCAAATGATACATTCTCAACTGTTACATGATTTGCAATGCAAAATCACAATCAGAATCGACACGATCAAGCTGCGTCGCATGACAAGTTCTCCAAGAGCCAAACAGGCTGGGAATCTTTGCCAGATCTGTCATGCAAGACGCGCAATTTGACCCCTTTCACTTTTGCCATTCTTGCATCACAAATCCATGTAACAGTTGAGAGTGTAACAGTTGAGAACGCCATAACGCGCTTTCTTCCCCCGATGAGCTCGGGTGCCGCGCAAGTGGCCTCTGGCGTGGCGTGCGTATCCTGTGCAAATATATATGCAGTCTCGGTCTGGAACAAGAGTGTGAGGCTTGTCACGCATCGCGTGGATCACAGAGCTGGTCTGGAATGTTGCGCCCAGAAGCATCACAAATTTTCTTGCCAGAGCTTTTGGATGCCTATTGTTCCGGAGGAGGGTGAGAAGCTTGCCCTGTGCGTGGTAACAACTAAGAGGTGGGCAACTACTTTTGCGGTTCATGCAACTACACAGATTTTTTCAGGATTCAGAGGCAGGTACTTACTAGCATGCCAAGAAGTTTGGTGGATCTTCCTTCCAGACCCAGACATATTTCTTTGCAATGCATAGTTCAAGAGCGGCTACGACCCGACCCCGCCGGTACGATTCTACTGCCAGGGCGAAGGACAGAGCCTAAAACTTACCTCCGACGGGTGCGAGGAGAAAGTGTGTCGCTGCCCCAACGGCCCGGCAACTCCGATGGAACAGTGCCCGGGGGATGGCCTGATCTCCTGTATTGCATGCGGGACCAATACCAATTTCAGGCTGCGACCGAATTGGCCGACCGGCCCGGAAACTGCCTGCTTTCCCACGTGCGGCAGTAACCAGTCCTGCTTGAAGCAAAACGGCGTGTATTTTGTGCCCTTGCCGGACGCCGACGCGTATTGCAATGACAGTGATCTCTCGGCTGCGGAAATCCTACAACTCAAGAACGCCGGCACGTACCCCACCGAAGGGTGTCGCGAGAGCTGCTGCCAAGAGGGATGCATATGCATTGCAAAAGCATCGTACTAGTATAAAACGCAATACAAGTTTTTTCAGAAAAAAATGGTGTTTCTAATGCTGATTTGGCTAAGAAACCAGATTTGTCATGCATGGTTGCAATTAGTACGAGTGCGACTGCGATGCTTTTGCAATTCATAACGCAAGCAGCCAAGCAATACAGACAAGGCGCGCCTCGAGGGAGTTGGAGGCGCCAATGTCAACCACGACAGCACCTGGAAAGCCGCCCTGGAATCGGCGACGTTCCTGCCGTTGAACCAGGGATGGTATTGCAAGGAAAAATCCCCCCGCCCCATATTGAAAGCGCATCATTCTGAAAATTTGTGATGCAGATTTGTGACCACAAATCCTTGCAAGAAGGCACATTCAGGCTGTCCGCCACGTTATGCAGGCACTTTGTATGTAGTGAGGTCACCGAACGGTTCTAACCAGGGAGTTTTTTTGCCATATACCCTGAAAAACGACCGGCAGTTTTCAAGCGGCCGGAAGCGTTTTTTGACATAAAAAGTTTTCAATTATCAAGCGGACGGGGCTTTGCCATCAAACAAGCCCGGTCGAAAACTATCCACTCGCACTTGATAAAACGACGCAGGGGAGCCGGCAAAAGGGGCGCCCTTCTGAGGCGCCCGCCGCCTTGGTTTCTGGCGATTTGGGGCGCCCAAAAAGTGGCGCGCAAAAAACGCGCCCAAAATCAAAACACCGAAACAGCATGGCACGGCCGCGATTTCGGAGCATTTTGGGCGGCCGCGAAAGCGGCCGCCTTTAAACGGTTTCAGAGCCTGGGAAGCTTTGCAAAAAGCGCCGGCGTGAAAAATAAAAACGCGAAAAAGAAAAAGCGCCCCAGACGCGCAAAGCCAATCCGCATGCTATGGGCCCGATTTTTCTTCGCGTTTTGGGCGCCCCCCGTGGCACCCGGATCGGCCCCATAGCATGGGGGCTGGCCTTCGGAAAGGAATTTTGGCAAAATTCCTTTCCGAAGGCAAAATTTGCAAATGTGCTGAAATATGTAAGATGTTGTGCAACAACCTGACCCCTTTCCGCCGGTGAAAAGGGGGGGGGGGCCCCCACCCACCTTCCGGCCAGGAGACCCGAAAGCCAAGCGGCCGGGGCCGGCACGCTCGCAACCCAGTCAGACGGCCGGGGGGGGCGCGCGCAAACGAAGGGCATAGCACCGCGCACGCCCGCGATCTATGCATCGGCGCGAGTACATTTTTTTTGGCGGCGCGCGCTTCGCGCGCGCAAGTTTCGTGCGTGAATTGCAAGCCAGAGCCAAGGCCGGAAAGCGCGCGCATGCACATGCGCCGCGACCAGATACGGCCAAAATCAAAAAACCTAAGAACCTAGACGCCGCAAGCGTGCGCAAGACTGCAAGCGACCGGGCCCCGCTGCCGCGGCGGCCGGCAACTGCATGCCAAGAACGAGAGCCACGCCGCGCTTGCCCGACGCGGTTTCTTCGCCCCTTTTCCCGCCTTTAAGATGGGCCGGCCCCCAAACACAGGCCCCTATCCCTTACAGCTTGTGAAGGCTGCAATCAAAGCGCCACCCCTACCCCTTGCGCGCGTAACTTCCGACGCGCCCGCCCAAATCCAGAAAGCAGTCCACCGGGCGCAGCATTGTGAGGGGGGGGGGGGTGCTATTGCCTGCCGGCTCGGCGCCGGGCACCCCGCCCGGTCGGTGCGGCGCCCGGGGGGGGATTGGGGCAGGGCCCCTGCCTGCCGGCTCGGCGCCGGGCGCCCCGCCCGGTCGGTGCGGCGGCCGCATCTGGGTGCATTAGCCGTCCGCGCGGCGCCGGTCCACGGCCTTTTTTGTGCCGCGCCGCCACGCCGAGGCCGACCCAAGCAAGGCAGGGTGGAGAGGGGCGGCGCCGAAAAAAAAAGGGCAGCGCTCCATTGGCCAAGCTAGCGGCCTCTTCTCCCGCAATCAATGAATTGCGTGCGTGGAGGTTTGGCTCCACCGCGCGGCGAAGGCGTCGGGGCACGGCGGGGTGCCTGCCCTCCTCCCTCGCCGGCCCGCCCCACATAACTAGGTGGCGCGCGCTTTCGCTATCGCCGGCGACAAAAGCTATCAGGTAGCGGGCGGGGCCCGTTTCTCCTGTCAGACGTTGCATGGGGGCAGGTGGCGCCGCGCGGGCGGGCGCTGCGTGCCCCCGCCATGTAGTGGTTGAGGCACGTCAGGGAGCGGGGTTGTGCGCGTGCTTCCTGGGCCGGAATTATCTAGGGGCGCCCGCGGGTGGCGTTGTGTGATTTGGTTTGCGTGGCGCCTCATGCGCAGCAAAGTTAAAGGAACGCAATGGGGTTCCGGCGCCACGATCTAGTTGGCGATCGCAGGCAGGGGGCTATCCTCTGCGGCCCGTGACTTTGCCTGGCGCCTGCGCCTGCCAAGGAGGAAGGGAAAGCAACGGGGCCGGCCTGTTTGCAGCGCCTTTCCCCCTTCACACACGCAACCACGCACCAGCGCGCCCGCCGCGCCGCGTGGCGATGTGTTGCGCGCGGCATTGGTTGGCCACAGGCAGGGCGGGCCCCAAAGAAAGCCGCGGTCGCGCCGCGTGAGTGTAGTCGCGGGAAAACGCGCCGGCGCCCGGCCCCGGGTCGCTTGTGGCTTAATGGAAAACATGGCAGGAGCCGGACGCCCGCCGCGCAAACAATTCAAGAGGTGTCTTCGTTCCTATGGCGGGATCGGTAATACCGTGCGCGCGCGCAGCGCGCGCGCGCGATTTTTTTTTATGCCGATGACGATTGCGGAAAGGGGGGGGGGAGGGGGTGCCACCCACCTGGAAGGGCGTCTACCCCCCTTTCCGCCGGCGGAAAGGGGTCAGGTTGTTGCACAACATCTAATGTTTCTCAAGTGACCGCCATACCCTGCGGCACAACGTTACTCGCGGCGGTATGGCGAGCTTAGAAAAAGCAAGGCCGCGGCCAAGGCGGCGGCCGGCGGGCAAAAAAAACCCCGCGACCTCACTACCCCCGCCCCGGCGGCTATATTTGGTAATGCTGTAAGGCCTAAAGGGTAGCCGTCTACCATGCTAGGCGCCTACACCAAAAGGCCCTGTCTAGGCTGAGGACCTGCGTGCAGTCCTCTACTGCAACACAAATCTGATTCATGTATCCAAATCCAGCATCAGAAATTGTGCTTTGATATGGGGGGGGATTTTTCCTTTTGATAGATGGGCAACGATCGCCACGGTGCAGTGCAAGAGCGAATGGGACCCTGCCCACCCAGCAAAATTCCGGTGCCTCGGCGCAGGGCAACACCTCGCGCTGCAGGGATGCGACCAGAAGCAGTGTCGCTGCCCGCACGGGGACTATCCTGTGCAAAAGTATCGTATTCGTATTGCAATCATGCATTACAAATCCTTCTGTTAAGTCAAATCCGCATTACAAATTTTATTTCTCATCCTGAGGAAATTTGTAATGCATTTATACGAGCAGTACGCTACGATACTTTTGCAATGCATAGGGATCCTCATTCAAGCACCTGCCCGGCGCACGATGACGTTTCTTGCGATCCGAATTCCTGCTCGGGGGCTAAGTGGCGATCTAAACTGAATTTTCCCGCCAACGGCCTATCTGCGTGCTACCCCAAATGCGGCACCGCCGCGAATCAGAATTGCGGGAAGACTATCAAGTGTAAAAATGTCTGGGTCTGGAAAAGAAGTGCCAGGTTTGTCATGCATATTTTCCATGACCCATGATGTCTGTGATGCATGCCCTAGCATCAGAGATTCTGCGAGGGCTCCCTGATGCTCGTCCCGCATGAGAAATTCCCTCTCCGCGTAGCAAAGAGTGCGTCTCTTTTGCTGTTCATGCAATACAGATCTTATGTAGAGAGCAAAGGTAGCATCACAAGTTACAACCTTCCAGACCGAGACATATTTGCAATGCATAAAGACAAACGGCGTGCATTTCATTCCCTCCTCGAATGAGAATGCGTACTGTAGTATCCTGAGCAAAAATGTCCCCACCCCAGAGTTGTCATGCAAATCTGCATGCGAAAAAAGTCTCTCATCCGGAGCCCCATGAGAGCCATTTTGTAGTGGTGTTTCGGTATTTGTGATGCTAGAATCAGCATGACGCGCTAGATCTGTGATGCTTCGGAACTAGCTAAACAGGACTACACTACAAGGACAAATTTGTCGTGCGAAACAACCAAAGCTGGTTGATTTGTCTAGCCGATCTCCCATGCCCACTCTGGTGTGGGGACGTTTTTACACAGGATATGTAGTGGTCTTTCTGCCGCCCAAGAAAATGCACTTCTCCTGGATGGCAGCAGCTACCCGACGGCGGCCTGTCGCGAGAGCTGTTGCGCACAGGGCTGCAAGATACCAACCCTTGCGAACCTGAAAAAGATCAACCAGGGCCAGGCTTGGTCAGGATGGGCGCAGGAGCTGGGAACGAGCAAATTTGCGGTGAACCCGAACGGAGCGAAAAAATCCATCAGCGGTGTCACTTGCAACGCTGGGCGGTGGGATATGGCGCTCTCAAACGTTACATTCTCAACTGTTGCATGAATCTGTAATGCAAGAATGGCAAAAGCAAAAGGGGGAAGATTGCAAAAATTGCATTACAAATCCCGAGCAGATCATTTAGGTGCTGTTTAGCCCTTCGCAAATTTGTCATGCGAAGCAGCTTGATCTTGTGGATGATGATGGTAGTTTTGCATGACAAATTCATGTAACGGTTGAGAGTGTAACGTTTGAGAGAGAGCTGATCCATATGGGAAGGCGCTGCGCCGACGTTTCGCTGTGAACAGGCGGGGGCCGCTATTGAAAGGAAAAATCCCCCCTCCCCATATCAAAAGGAAGTTTCTGATGCTGGTTTTGTGTACACAAATCAGGTCTGTCTTGCAGTACAGGACTGCAAACCCATACCAAGCCTAAGCAGAAGGGTTTTGACGTAGGCGCGTAGCATGGCAAATGTGTCCTCTGTAGGCTCCATAGCATCACAAACCGCCTCCATAATGCGGCGAGGTCGCTGGATTGGCCTTCTTGCAATACACAGACGATTTGTGTCCACAAATCAGCATCAGAATTTCCAGAAGTATCCCTTTTTGATATGGGGAGGGGGGGTTTTTCCTTTTGATAGTCGCGTTGAAAGTGTTTGGTTGTGATACGCAAATCTCCACAACGGACGCTGGGCTGACGGTGAAGTGTGCGGGAAGCGACTGCGAGTGGAAAGACCCCTGGCTGCCGCTGGACTGCAAGCAGGCCTGTGACAGCAACAGCGCATCAAATGGCTTCTGCGATAAGTGTATCAAATGCGTCGAATATGTCTGGGTCTGGAAGAAGGCAACATTGTGATGAGCATTTCACAACAGCACATACAAATCTCTTATGCACAGGCTGCAAAAGTTGCCCACTTTTGTCACCAAAATGGGAGATTTGTCATGTGGATTCGGCATTGCCGAAGCTTCTCGAGTAAACCTGTGATGCTACAGCTTCCATGCCAGACCTTCTGCGTCATGCAAAAACAGCATGACGCTTCCAGACCCAGACATATTTGCATTTGATAAAGTGTCAAGTCAGCGGTTTGGCCCGGCAGGATCCGATGTTCGGAATATGCTGCCCCGTTGACCCGGGAGTTATCGTGAGAAAAAACTGTCTCAGTCTCAATTTCTAATGCACAAGTTCCTTGAGACAGTTTTTTGTCATGCTCGACATGCAAGATTTTAACGAAGTTCTTCTTATGAATGTGTCTTTCGCTTGTGTCTGATGCATCACAGGTTTTCTGTTTCGTGCTGAGCAATAGATTTGTTTTGCTGAGCAGGCTGCAAAGGATTGAGACTGAGACAGTTTTATTTTCTTGCGATAGGAGTACTCGCTTCATCAGGATCGCCAGAATGCAACTTGCTCACCGAGGCACAAGACGTATCGCAAGAAAAAAGTGTTACAGTTACACATTGTGTTGCAGACATAGCAAGACAGACAATCTCTGTCATGCCGGATATGCATATTAGAAGCCCTGTTTCATACGTGTTTTCCCCTAGGATTTCTGCAACGCAAGTCTTCTCTCTCATGCAGGGAAATTTGTGTTGCTAAATTGACATCAAATGTGTAACTGTAACACTTTTTTCGTGTGATAATACGGCGCGGATTACATTCCGAGCGCGTACAAAAGTTGGCTGGCTGCTGGCAACAATTTCCAAGCAGCGACGCGGGTTTGCTATCCTGTGCAAAAGTATCGTACTCGTAGTAATTGCATTTATGCATTACAAATCTCTTGCTCAAGGTAAATCAGCATTACAAATTCAATTTGTAATGCTGGGGGAATTTGTAATGCAATTTATACCAGTACGACTACGATACTGTTGCACAGGATATTTGCCACGCCGTGCCAACGTGCCTGTCGAAGTGCAACAACGCTGAGGGGATTTGTGCCGCGTGCGAGGACGTGCGCGGAAATGGGGAGAAGTGGGACACTGCGTGCTGTTTAAAAAACTCTGGTAGCAACACTGGCGCGTGCGCTCGGGCACGCTCCTTTCCGATCGCGGACCAGGCACCAAACAATGCGAAGTACTGGTACCACGAGTGCGTAACTTTGAACTTCGTGTCGTCCGGTAAAACGGTCCGGGATGTGGATGGCAACAATGTGGGCAACAAGAAGCTCACCCTGAAGTTGGAAAGTGGCGCTATGTACAATGGGCCGCTGGAGTGCTGGGGCGCTTGTGGTGGAAAGGGGTGGTGCGCGAACAAGTGCAAGATCACGGCCGGCCCCAATAAGGCGGATTACAAAGGCGCGTGTTGTTCGTGGTTGAAAAACTCGGCCGCTTGGCACGGCAGTGACCCGCTGGAGTGCCGCATTTTGTCCGCTTTGCAGGGACGCGACGAAAAAAGCTTTATCTCCAATGCGTACTGGAATTCCCCTTACGACTACCACGCCTGCGTGGCGGTGCCAAAATGGGTCGAGACCTATGAGTCCTGTCTGGGGTCGGGCAAGTGCACGGGGGCCGGCTTGTGCGACCACTGTCCCGACGATGGAGGCTTGACTGGGGCGTGCTGCAAGAAGGGGAACGACTACGACTCGGATCACTACTGCAGCCACGTAAAGACGGGCGGTTCTACGCAAGTTCAGTACCCGGTTGCAGATGGAAAGCTCAAAAATGACGACTACGCAAAAGAGTTTCGCGCTTTCGAATGCGTTCTGGTGTCGACCACGACCACCACGACCACGACGCTTTGTCAGTGCAGCAACGGAGACGTGAAATCCACCCCGTGCGGCAAGCACCTGGCGCAGCACTGCAAGACCTGTGACGACGAGGGGACGAAGTTCAAACTCGAAACGAACTACCCAAGTGATGGTGAATCCTCCTGCCTACCCATCTGTGGCTCCGTCGCGAACCAAGACTGCAGCACAGCACCGCTTGGCGGGAACGCCGCGTTTGCTTCTATCAGCCTGATTCCCTCCCCGGCCCTTCAGCTTTGCAGCAATGTGCCCAATGAGTTCGCCAACGGCTACCCAAAGGTCGCTTGTCAGAAGAGCTGCTGCCGGCAGGGCTGTCTGCGGCAGGCGCCGGCCGAGGCGAGCGAGCGACTAGGCTTCACGGCTGCTTCCGGCTCCTTCACATCGTGGAACGAAATTTTTGCGGAGCAGCTGCAGACGGAGATTGCACTGCCGATTGACAACGAGGTCGTGTTCGTGCAGCGCGGATCCAAGGTCGGAAACGTCGCCGGCTTTGTATGGCATTCTCAAACGTTACATGCTCAACTGTGACATGATTTGTCATGCTCAACTGTGACATGAAAAAGTGCTGCGACTTTGCGCCGTACTCCGACGCGCCCAATCATGCATGTCATGATGCTGCTTTGTGATCCCAAAGTAGATTCTTAAAAACTTGCACGTGTAAGACTCAATTTTCCGACCATTAGTATAGTTAGGAGGCATGCGGAGCGGGACAGTGGGCAGTAGGAACAGGTACAGAAACACCACCGAAAAAAGGAAGAGCAACATTGCACCTGTGTTGTTGCATCACTACAGTTGTTGACTCTCTTGCACAGCGAGGATGGAAACAACTCGGTGGTGTGACTCACCGCCTGCTGACCGTGTGAACAACTGTAGCATGTCGCGACGAGAAGGGACAAGCAGTCTGGAGCCGAAAGGCAAAGGGGTCAGATGGCACTTACGGAACACAAATACGATGCTGCGATGCTACAAGGACGACAAGCCTGGATCACCTCTTTCTCCGATCTGAAGTTGTCTATGTGATATTTCGCTGCGTTATTTTTGTGATTTGTATTTAAAAAAAAAAAAAAAAAATTTGTCATGCTAAATTAACATCAACGCGCAAAGTATGAAGCAGCTGCGCATGACAAATTTTTGAAGGGCTAAACAGTATTGAAATCTGTGCCGAATTTGTAATGCCAGAGGCGCAATCTACGCCCTTTGACTTTTGCCATTCTTGCATATACAAATTCATGTTGTAACACTTGAGAATGTAGCGCTTGAGAGCGCCATACTTTGTCGTCGCGGATTGGAACACGTGCAGTTCGGCCGGAAATGTCATGCTATCAACGGCAAATATGTCTGCTGGGGCTGGAAGGATCCAACTTGTGATGCTGGCTTTGGATTCTAAAAAGATCTGTATTGCAAGACCAGCAAGAGAAATTCAGTTTGTCCTGTGTCTATGTAGAGAGGGCATTTCTCATGCGGAAAAGGCACCAGAAAGCCCTCTAAAAATCTGTGATGCTAGGTCATGCATTGCAGGCGTCATGGGTCATGCAAAATATGCATGACAAACCGTTGTTAAGAAAGCACTTCGTCGTTAAAGAAAGAAAGTACTACGTGAAGAAGTTACGACGTAAGACATAAAATCGTAGACAAGCATGTAAAAAGTAGAAGCAGATACTTCAACAGCCGCGCAGCTAGCGGGGGGGTGACTCCTGTGGTCCCCCCCCACCAGCTGTGCTTTTTCCAAAACATCCAGGAAAACCGTGGCGAGGTTCTTTTTTTTTTTCCAGCAAGTGGCTGGTGGGGGCGTAATATAGGATAAGGAAGTATGTAGGTCGTGAATGTAGAAAAGACTAAGAAGAGCCGGGCTGGTAAGGTAGAAAACTGGAACTACTTAGATACATAAATGGGGTCGTAGTTGAGTATAGTACTTTTTGGCTGAGATAAAAAGAAAACATCATGAACGACGAACGCGGAATCGGAGACAACGCGGCAAAGCGGGGGCAGGGGCGCGGCCTGCCAGCGAGGACACGGCAAGGGAATCGGGACAAACGGCCAGGGGCTCAAGACAAGTGCCAATGAGGGGAGCCGCGCGTACCGTTCGAGCTACAGGAGGACGAGGAGGACTTGGCCAAGTGGGATACGCGTGTGGGGCGGAGGGAAAGAACGGCTGCGAAGCGAGAACAAGTTGCTGGGGCAGGCGACAAGTTTAAATTTGGTACAAAAAAAAACAGCACTCAGATACCCGCGCCATCTGCTTAACTGTGTGAAATATTGTGTCGGCCCGGTCCTGCTTGGTCGCAGGCCGGTGTTCGTGAGATCAGATTTCACATGTTAAGTAACGCACACCGGCTCCTAGCTTAAAAAAATGATGAATTTACATGAAAATGGGGCCTAATCAAAAAAAAAAAAAAAATATGCATGACAAACCTGACAATCTTCCAGACATCCAGGGTGCATATTTGCATTTGATACCTCCTTGCCGTCAGCAAAGAAACCGGCGAGTTCCCCATGCGGTGCTGTGGAGACGAGGGGGATCCGCCGAGTGGGGCGTTTCCATACAAGGACGACGCCATCGGGAACGCGGCTGACGGTACGCGCGTGGATTGCCGAACCAGCCCGGACGACCGGTGCTCCGCCAGTGGCAGTGGCCGACTCAGCTACGCGGCGGCGGTCGCGAAGTGTGCGGAGACGAACCGCAGATTGTGCACGAGTCAGGAACTGCTGACCGTGTTGAATGGCCAAGCGACGAAGACCCTGTGCTCCGGCACCGGCGGAAACTGCGACAACGCCTGCATTTGGACCAGCACGGTGCCCTACACGTACCCGGTGTCTAATAACCTAAGAAACAATATGGGATTCTCAAACGTTACATTCTCAACTGTTACATGGATTTGTCATGCAAAACTACCTTAAGCCGCCAGATGCTCAAGCTGCTTCGCATGACAAATCTGCGAGGGGCTAGACAGCACCTAAATCTGTGCGGAACTTGTAATGCAAAAGGCGCAAACTTCGCCCTTTCACTTTTGCCGTTCTTGCATTACAAGTTCATGTAACAGTTGAGAGTGTAACGTTTGAGAACGCCATAAACAACGGCTTTGCCGTTGATTCCGTCACGTGCAAGGAAGGCTACTACACGGGCGCCAGTCCGCGATTTTTTTGCGACGCCCCTGGAAAGCGATTGCGCATGACGGGGTGCGACGATGTGGTCAAGCATTGTGTGGGCCAGTGGGATTTCACCGACGAACAGCTGGCCGAGCAATGCATCGGAGCGGGGGAAACGAGGACCCGCGAGTACGACGTTTCACAAGCCGCGGAGAACGGCGGAGACCCTTGCTCTGCCGCCGACGGCGACAAAGTTACCTACCAGTGCCCGCTGTACCAGTGCAAGTGCACGTTTGGCGAGGCAGAAACCGGCCCGCGCTGCGTTACGCAGAATGACGGGACGCAGACGGTCGGCTGTGATGTGCAACCAGGGGCGGCGGGGTGCAATGCGGGGTACCATCCGGTCGAGAAAACGACTCAGGACCAGGCCACGTATCATGTCTGCGAGGTAAACAAGTGCAATTGCCCTTCCGGGAACCCCGCCGCGACTGGGGTGGAGTGCGCAGCAGACGGAAGCACGACATTGTGCACAGATTGCACGGAGCCTGGCTATCACATGATCGAGGACGGGCAGAACAAGGAATGCACGCTGATGGAGTGCACGTGTGAGCACGGCGAGCCAGATGTATGGAGTTCTCAAATGTTACATTCTCAACTGTTACATGAATTTGTAATGCAGGAATAGCACAGGTGGAAGGGAGAACCTTGCGCGTCTTGCATTACAGATTTAGTGCAGATTCTAGTGCTATTTAGCCCTCCGGGAATTTGTCATGCGAAGTAGCTTCATTGTCTGGTGGCTCATGGTCATTTTGCATGACAAATCCATGTTTGTAACAGTTGAGAATGTAAAATTTGAGAACGCCATAAGATGTTGGTGCAGCTTGTGATCCTCATCTCACTGTGGAAAAGTGTGTACGCTGCACCGCGGATGGTTATCATCTCGACCTGGGCGGCACAAACGTTTGCGTGGAAAATGAGTGTCTCTGCGACAACGGAACCGGCGCGAAGGGAGCGCCGGCTTGTATGGACCATGGCGCTGAGGTGTGTGCCGTGTGTGTCCACGCGGGGTTTCGGCTGGAAAACCAACGCTGTCTGGAGAATGTTTGCCGCTGCAACCACGGAACCGAAGCCACGGGGGCCGATTGCACGGAGCACCACGGCGAAATTTGCAAAGAGTGCACTCACCCGGGGTTCAGTCTCGATGTACTTACGAAAACGTGCGTGCAAAACATCTGCACCTGCGCGCACGGGATTGCAGCGACGGAGGAGAGGTGCACGGCGAACAACACGAACATCTGCACAGCGTGCACCGAAGCAGGCTACAAGCTCAACGACGCGACCGAAAGTTGTGTGCAAAACATCTGCACTTGCGCAAACGGTACCGCGGCGACTGGAGCCAATTGCACGGAAGACGGCGCCAACATTTGCAGCGCGTGTAGCAGTGACACAGGGTTCAGTCTAGACGAAGGTGCCAAAACTTGCGTCCAGAACGTCTGTACTTGCGCGAACGGCACCGCCGCGACGGGCGGGGATTGCAAAGCGAACAACACGAACACATGTGCGGATTGTGCGGATTATATCGGGTTCAGTTTAGACGAAGTTACGAAATCTTGCGTCCAGAACATCTGCACATGTGCGAATGGAACTCCAGCCACGGGCGAAGACTGCACCAGAAACGGCACGAACATTTGCACAGGATGTGAAGCGGAGCAAGGGTTCAGTTTGGACGAAAATTCGGCTTTTTGCGTACAAAATGTCTGTACCTGTGTCAATGGCACCGCAGCGACGGGCGGGAATTGCACCTCGAACAACACAGAAGTTTGCGAATCGTGTTTGAATGAAGATGAGTTTAAACTGACGGAGGACAAGCACTGCATCTGGGTCGATCTCCTTGCGGGCTTGGCGCCCAGTAAATACGATGAAGTGAATTTCTTTGACGAAAATGATCTATCGGAAGAGGAGAAATTAGAAGATGGAGACTCGACAGCGAAGTCGTATCAAGTGCAAAAATGTCTGGGTCTGGAAGAGTCATGCTGTTTTTGCATGACACAGAAGGTCTGGCGTGGAAGCTCTAGCATCATAGGTTTCGAGAAGCTTCCGCCATGCCGAATCCGCATGACAAATTCCCCACTTTGGTGACACAAAGTGGGCAGCTTTTGCTACCTACGCATGAGAGATTTTTCTGTGTTTTGAAATGCGCATCACAAGTTTGTACTCTTCCAGACCCAGACACTTTTGCATATGCATAAGTCGCCGGATGACTCTGAAACCATGGAGGAGCCCGCGGGTCCTTTGACTGGCGAAGGGCTGGGCGTGATCATTGCCGTGGGTGCGATTCTGTTGCTGGTTTTCCTCATTCTGCTGATTTACTACTTCGGTTTCCACGACGCGGATGGTGGGAGAAACGCGCAGGAGGACGGGCCGCTGCGCGGAAACACGTCGGCCGCGTCGGTGTTGCAGCGGACGAGCGGAAATTTTGGCGAGCGCGAGGGCGACTTGAAGTTTGAGTACCACCACGTGAACCGGGCCTTGATCGAGGCGGGCCTGTCTGCGTTGTACGCCAGCAGGATGGCGCAGCAAATCTGCGACATGAATTCGCAAGACGACGAGGATCTGGTCTATCCGACGGAAGAGCACGACAAGGCAATTCTGCAGCCTTTAGGGCTAGAATTCGACGAAAACGATCCGGACAAACTGGGCCGCATGCGGGAATTTCTGCAGAACGTGGCCAAGGAGCAGCGGAAGCTGTTTCAGCCGCTCCCGAAAACAAGCCCCGAGGAAAGGGAGCGCAGAACGGCAGAATTCGAGTACAAGGAGGTGAATCGGTCTTTGGTCGACGCGGGCCTCTCCGCCCTCTACGCGAGCCGGATGGCCCAACAGGTTTGCGACGCGAGTGCAGCCGACGACATGGATTTGGTCTATCCAACCGACGCGCACGACCGGGAGTTGATCGCGCCCGTGTTCGGAATAGACGCCGAACTGGGTGACTTCAAGGTTATCCCGTGCAAAAGTATCGTATTCGTAGTAATCGCAATCATGCAAGACAAATCTTCTGCCCAAGCAAAATCAGCATGGCAAATTCCACCATGTGTCGCGCTGAGCAAATTTGTATTGCAATTACTAAATAACTACGTACAAGTACGATAGAAGTTTTGCAAAGCATAGAAGTTGGTCTCGGACAAATGCGGCGATTCTTGGAGAACCAGAACGTCGGGGTTAAGACCACATCACGCCCCTCCAAACAAGCAGCTGCTGCTCGGCCTAGCAAGAAGGGCCTCTTCCGGCCCTCGATGGCTGGCGCGGGGGTTGAAAGACCTTCCACGGCGAACAAAGCAAGCAAGGCCAGCGTCGCGCGGGTGTCGGGTGCCCCCGGGTTGGGAGGTGGACCAGCGCGGACCTTATGACGTTCTCAACTGTTACATTCTCAACTGTTACATGATTTGTCATGCAAAATTGCCATATTAAGCCGTCACACGATCAAGGCGTTTCGCGTGACAAATTATCGAAGGGCTAGACAGCGCCTAAATCTGTTCCAAATTTGTAATGCAAAGCGCGCAATCTTCCCGCGTTCACTTTTGCTGTGCTTGCATGACAAATTCATGTAACAGTTGAGAATGTAATATTTGAGAACTCCATACACCTCGGCCGCTGCCTCCAGCAGCGGGTACGTGGGCGTTTCCGGCCTGTCAGGACTGGGAGCATATCGTGAGAAAAAAGTGTTACAGTTACACATTCTACTCATGCAAGACAAGCAAGACAGACAACCTCTGTCATGCAGGAAACGCGTGCCAGCCTCATTACATTCGTGTTTTCCCTTATAGTCTGCGCATTACAACTCTTTGTCATGCAGAGCAAATCTGTGATGCTGAAATTCCAACAAATGTGTAACTGTAACACTTTTTCCTTGGATAGAGCAGGCAGCACCGTTAGTACGGCTTCGGAAGAGGATGAAGAGGGTCCTCTTCAAGGGCACGGACGGGAAGCAGTGGTAGTCTGCACGGTAGAGGAGATATGAGAGTGCACAACTACTCCCCCTTTTCCTCATTTGTATGGCTTGAACAGCAATACAAACACATGCACACTTGGGGCCTGTGCATGACAAATTTATCATTTTGTGCGACCTTATGTAGTACTGTTTGGACACTTTCGGAATTTGTCATGCATAATAGTGACGCAAGGGAGCAAGTGGAATTGTGGATTTTGCATGAGAAATGAGAACGAGAGGGAGTTGTGCACTGTCATAAAAGACCGCCGCGAAGCTGGAACACGAGCAAGGATTTTCGCCGCGGGCGGCGGTGTGCTTGGCAGAAAAACTGGTGGCGAGAGCCCGCGACGCCGTGGCCATCATCGAGCGCGAGTTGCAGGAAGAGCAAGCTGGGCTGCAGGTGTCCGGTCTCACTCTGCCAGACGGTCTTCGTGGCAAGTATTCGCAGGCGGGAAACGCTTCCACCGTCGAGAGTGGTGCGCGGCCGGTGGGCACCAAGGCAAGTGCCGGCTCCGGCGGGACGACAGGGAGTGCCGGGTCGTCCGCCGCAAAATATCAAATGCAAATATCCCTGGACGTCTGGAAGATTGCGAGATTTGTCATTGTCATGCTAGTCTGGCATGACTCTGACCTCTGTATTGCGTGGCCACAATCAACATCCTCTCTCGCCTGTCATGCAAAAACGCAGTTTCTCATGCGGAATAAGCAGCAAGCACGAAAAAACTTGTCATGCTTGGCGGCGCATTACAGTGCACTTATTATCGACTGACTTGCATCACAACGTCCCAGACCCAGACATGTTTGCAATGCATACAATGATGTACGAGCGCGTGGCGCAGTATGTGGCCGACATTTCTTTGGCCGACCTACAGGATGAAGCAGGAGGTGCGGGTATCCTGAGGAAAAACGTCCCCACCCCAGAGTTGTCATGCAAATCTGCATGCCGAAGATGTTTCTCATGTGGAGCTCCATGAGAAGCAGTTTCCAGACGTGTTTTGGAATTTGTCATGCTCCAATCAGCATGATATAGTAGATCTGTGATGCTGCTGAGCTAGCTCAAACAGCACTACAATACGAGTCCAAATTTGTCATGCAAAACAGCCAAAGTTTGTGGATTTGTCTAGCCGAGTCCCCATCTTGACTATGGGGTGGGGACGTTTTTACATAGGATAGCGGGGAGTGAAAACTGGAATGACGCTGCGGGCGAGGAAGACCGACAGAAAATCGAGGATATGCTCCAGAATATGATAGTGCACAACTCCCCCTCCCCCTCATTTGTGTTGCATGAACAGCAACACAAGCGCTGGCAAAGATGCAGCTTTTGCATCACAAATTCCGAGAGGACTCTACATCGTGCTGTTTAGGATTGCAGAATCTGTCATGCAAACAGTGTTAACAGGCAAGCCAAGGGGTGGATCGGGAATTTAGCATGACAAATGAGGGGGAAAGGCGGGGGTTGTGCACTCTCATACAGAACTTCGGAAAAGCAGAACACGCCAAGACCATCGGATTTTTTGCCGTGGCCAAGACGAAACCGGCGCGAAGGAAAAAGCGCGGCGCGTCGGAAATCGCGCTCTTTGATTTGAAGGCGCTGGCCCACCTGGAAGAGCTTTTCGACAAGAACAAAGTAGGTGGCGCGACTGGTTCAACATCTGGGGTTGCTGCTGCTGGTGCGCCATCATCTTCATCCCAGCGACCGGGCGGGAGCAGCCGGATACTTGCGCCATTCGGGAATACCGAGAACGCGAAGCAAGTGAACCTGTTCATGAGAATGATGCCCCCGAAAAACAAAGTGTATCAGCACCACGACCACCACGACCATGACCACCATCTCGCCGCCGCAAGACCATCTACCTCGAGGCCTCCAACAGACGGAGCCCGCGCGAGTAGATCCACGGGCACGGGGGCCAGTCGGGCGACGGGTTATCCTATTGAAAAATCCACCTTTCGCCCCGTACTCAAAGTGGGATAATTTGTGTAGCATGATTTGTGACCGCAAGATATCAAGAAGTTGTCATGCGAAGAGGTAATTAATACACGCGGACTGTGCTGTCCGTCTGGCGTGGAAAGGCCTTGATGCATCTTCAGAATTACAGGAAGCCATTGCACTCTCGGAAAAAATAGCATTGCAAACTTACGCGCAACATCAAGCGTTAGCGTATGGTCCCTTCGCACTGCAGCAAGTCGAGTTTCGTACGCGAGAGGCACAAAAAGAGGAATATTTTTTAAGTACCAACCTCCTTTTTTAAAAATATGTGGGGAGCGGGGATTTTTCCTTATGATACTGGCGGAACTGATCTTCATACGGGCGGCACTGCCATCGACCGAAGCGACGTATCAAATACGTCAGCAGCTGAAAGCGACCCTGGTGCCACGAGTACGAGCGAAGGGGACGAAGATGTGGACGACTCCGCTTATGAATTGCAATTGCAAAAGTATCGCATTAGTAGGATTTATTCTTGCATGTTGACAATTTTCAACTAGTACTTGCCCAGTACGTCGAAAACTGAAATTTCTTGCGCGCCAGAATCGCCTTTAAGAGGAGACTTGTAAGAACGCGTACTATGCAAAAATTACTACGAGACGTACGATACTTTTGCAAAAATGCATACCGATCGTGAAACGAAGCAGCTTCTGAAGAAGAAAAAGAACAAGAAGATCGTACTAGTCAAGAAGAAGAAGAAGGCCCCCGGAGCTGCAGGTGCTACGTCGACGAGCTCCAGTGCTAGTGAAGCTGAAACTGCAGATGGTGGGCATCACAGTACTGCGACCGGTAAACCTAAGAAAAAGACCAAGCTCGCGACCAAGAAGAGTGGCAAAAAAAGCGTAGGAGGTGCAAGTGCAGCGGCGCAACCTTCGCAGATGAAGCAGGACGCACCTACCCAGGAACTGCTGAACGAAGCGCAGGCGGCGCTAATGGACGTCGGGTTTTCCCGGCACCAGGCGAAGATCATCGCCGAAAAAATCGCCGGCGTGACAGCGGTATGCACCTGCAAATAAAGTATCGCTCTCGTAGAAGTACTACAAATCGCAGCCATGCATCACAGATTTATCAGCATTGCAAATTATTGAAGATGCGGTTTGCCTCTTCCAGAAAAAAATGTATATGCGGTTTTTCATTCTAGAGCGATGCTTTTGGTTTTGCAATGCATAGCCGGATCAGCTTGACCAAAAATCGGGTTTGACCGAGGAAGAAAAGAAAATCGCGTCCGCGGGACTGGGTGGCGCAAAAGTGAACGATATGGGAGTGTCAGGATTGAAATCGACAAAGCTGAAATGATTTGCCATGCATAAAATGGATGCCAGTTGGAACCCAGTGTCCAAGTGGCGCATGACAAAACTTGGCGGTGCCTCAATCCCGTTTGTAATGCTGTTTGGGTAAGGAAGACGCCTTTTGTAATGCTATCTTAGCAGCCTTATTTCTACCCCTCAACAGGCTTAGTATCTGCCTCCGTTCCCTACTCTGCAAGACAGGCACTTCGTGGGTTGCATTTTATGCGTCACAAACTATTTCAACTTTGACGATTTCAATCCTGACGCATCCATAAACGACCTGCAGGATTTAGCGGAAGAGCTGGTCCACCAGAAAGGAACCTTTTTCGCCTATCAAAATGAAAAATCCCCCCTCCCCATATCAAAACAGAAATTTGTGATGCTGATTTGCGGCCACAAATCAGCTTTGTATTGCAAAGAGGCACTGCGGCCAGATCCCCAGGCTAGGTAGGGGCGTATGGGTCTAGCAGTTCAGCATGGGAAACGGACCCCCTTTAGGCCCAACAGCGTGACAAATCGCTTCCAAAATGGGGCGGAAGCTTCTGCCCTTGTCTTCTTGCAAGACAGATGTGATTTGTGACCTTAAATCCGCAACGCAAATTTTTGGAAACATACCTTTTCAATATGGGGAGGGGGGATTTTTCCTCTCAATATCGCCAAGCGGTTCTCGCCCGAATCGCAGCAGGAAGCGATGTATGAACAGCAAAAGCATCGTACTAGTTCTAGTAGTTATTGCAATACAAATTTCATCCTCAGCATTAGAAATGGAATTTGTATTTGTAATGCGAATTTGCCTTAACATCTGGTTTTTTAATGCATTAGTACGAGTGCGGTTCTTTTGCATTGCTTTGCATACCATGAGGGGAAAGGCGGCGGGCCAGCCCATGTCGCTCCTCGAAGAGAAATGCGCAAATCCCGGGGCGACATCACTCTTGTCCGGAGTGGAAAAGAAGACGAAGGGAAAGCGCAAGGTGGTGAAGGTCGGGAAATGGAAAACCAAGCTCGCGGGTCGCTATCCTGTGTAATAAAAACGTATGATTCCCAGCCTGCAGCAGCAGCAGCTCCCCTGAGTGGGCAAATGGGAATTGAGCTAAGACTAAACACTTGTTCCTGCGCGCATGACAAATTTAGATCCGGTTGTCGTTGTAGCCAACGCAGGCACGAATTCCGCAAGTTTTGAGAAGCTATTTTGTCTGCTTTGAAGAGCGCGACAAATAACTTCCAGACCTCACTCAAATGCCGTCAGCACTTGTGGCACTATTCCGTGTGAGAAGCTGCGAAGCCTTTCTGCATGATGCGAAAAAAATGAGCATGACAAAGACAACTTTTACTGCCAGGTCGTGGGTACTTACGTTTTTGAAATGGATAGTCGCGGCGGGGGTCAAACGACCTCCTCTATGGAAGAAAGTGAAGCGTAGGCGGGTGCTAATTATGATGTAGTGGATATCAATCGCGCAAAGGCAAAACTACGACTGCGCACAGTTTTAGGAAAAGAGTGTCACTAATGAGCAAGCTTCATTGATAAATTCTTGCTTTAGTCGTCCGTGCTTTTCGAAAAGTAGTGGTCTCCAAGAAAAATATGTTGGTGACTTTTTTATTGTTTTGTAAATTTGTTTGATGTTTGTCATTGTTTCTCTTTCTGTGGATACGTTGTGATCTTGAATCGAATTTGCATGGTGCGGATGTTGATTTTCATTTTCTTTCGGATTTTACTAGCAAGAAATAGATTTTTTTTCGGCAATCTTGTCGGCAATAGATTATTTTTCGGACCGTTTATTTCGCCTTGTTCAATTCGATATTTCTTCTGCTCTAGTGCAAGTAGCTTCATCGGCTTACAAAAATGTTGTTAGATTCATCTTTTTCAAATGTTTGTGTTTCATTGTCTACTACTCGTCCCAGGCGCATGCTGTATAGTCCAATTTTACGAACAATATTTTTACGACCATTTTTGACCACGATTCTTTTATACGTTTGTTTCATCACCTTGACACCTTGATAGTTGTCTTTACATCTTTTCCTCACAATGTACAGAGCTGGGCGCCGCTTCCTAGGTGCCGATGCAGCACAAAGAAAGATGAAGGATCAAAAATCTGTAAAATCACATTGGCTGTAAAATAAAAAGTTCTTGGATTCTTGTTGTAGAGCTTACAAATTCTGTCTTAACTGTTGTACCATTCGATGTGTGCCACAACAAAAGGTGGGCGGCCTGATAGTGTGACGACCTGAAGTGGTTGTTTGAATTTTTCGTGTTCATACTCGTCGATCCCCAGCATTTGTGCGTTTTGACGTTCAAATTTCTACATAATTTCTACATAGACCACAAGGTTATCGCTCTTTGAAGCTCATGTTAAATAAGAACAAACCACTTGATGGATCGATATGTCATTCGTTGAAAGAGAAAGGGTGGCGTGGAAGAGGAACAAATGGATAGTGCGTAAAAAAGGGCACTCGACGGTTTTCTATCTCACTAGAGGGCCGACGCGGCTCGAGCTGCAGCTGATCAAATCAGGATGAAAAGGTATTCCTATTCGTATTCCTATTGGCTACGTACTAGAGAGGTTGTGTTGGGGCTGCAGGCTGTCGTAAAGGAAGAAAGAAGCCGATCTGTGAAGAAGTCGTTGTGACGAGTAATACGGGTCCACATCTCGAGTGATCCATTGTGGTTCAGGAAGTGCTACTTGAGGTTATGCTTACAACCACTGCTGTATTTGGTCCGTTCTATGACGATTGAGACTGATGGTCCTAGCTCTTGAAGACACAGTTCCCGGGTCGTAGTCGTCGTTCCAGACTCGACAAGCTGTGTATTAACTGCTGGTCGATAGAAGCGATCATGATCATGAGTCTGCTCGTTCGCGTAGCGAATAAAGTTGGAATAAAGATCACGTTCACGTGGTGCTGCACGCATTTTCGATAGTTTCGACATGATTTTCGGATGGTAGTCTTCGACGATCGAAGCATTTATATAGCATCTGAAAGGAAAATGGTCACGGTGGGATCGTGAACGTGTCAATACGTTGAACATGTTGATGCTGTCCATGTGCTGCACATGATCTTGTTAGTGGTGATCAACTACACTGGTGGTGAAAACAGAAGTACTTATAGTTGAGGAGGTTTTTTTTTCTTCTCTGCTGTACTTCAAGGTGGGGGGGGACGCATAGAAGAGCAGGTTTTCGTCCGTTTCGCGTATGACCTGCTCAATTATGCTATGGGGGGACGCATAGAAGAAGTGACCAGCGAACGAAAAACCATTTTTCTAGTACATACTCAAACAGTTTGATGTTGTTGATCGATCATCGATGATTTCATCGCGATCGTGACGGAGGTAGAATGTTGTTGCTCCCAACAATCAAGGGACCACAATCTGAAAAAACCAGAAGTTGTGCAAGTTATCCGATGTTTTTGAAAACAGCAGAACCAACACGAGCTGCGCCACCGTCGTCGTCGTGCAGTAGAGGGCGGTGGAAGATGAACTACTACTCGTGCTGGTCCAGTAGGACCCTAGTAGCCGTCGGAACTCTCCTTCTTGCCGCGAACAATGTTTCTGTCTTCTTTCTGCACAAAGAAATTGCGACGGAGAAGATTTTTGCGCCATGTTTCTCAGGAGCACATGATTCAGCATCATCATCTTTCCGCCTCGGCATCAACATGATCCCCGTCGTGTCTGCATTTACCGTGTCTAGAACTTCGCACGAGAAGAAGAGCAAGAACACCGATACTAGCACAACTGTCGGAAATAAGAACAAGCGCCAGCAGTTCCTGATCAGCGATAAGAAGAAGCTTTTCGCCGCGGAAAAAAACGACAAGGCTTCATCTTCTTCCAAGCGGCTCTTGCAGCCCGGCAGTAGTGGTGGACCGCTGAAAATGAAAAATGAAGTTGCCGCCAGCGAGGTCCGCGTGGACGACGATTTTTTGCAACTGCAGGTGGTGGAAGATGTTGCTGCTAGTTTTACCAAGGTTAAGGACGAGAAAAAGAGGGACAACGAAGAAACTAAAACGCGGGAAATGAAAAAAGCGTCGATGAAAGCGGCTCTTCTAGAAGAAGATCCTCCTTCTGAAAACGAAGCAGACGATGATGGTGAGGGAAGTGCCCCGCGTGGTGCAGCTTCAACGACCCAAGGTGGAGCCGCGACGACATCCAAAGTCCTGGAGCCTGATGAGGAGCACGACGAGGAACTACTGGCTCTAGAGGATGTTCTTGAGCCAGATGAAGCAGCACAAGAGGAACCAGACCACGATGAAAGTAGCGACGACCACGACACTGGTGACGATGACGATGATGAGGACCATGATGAAGATGACGATGATGATCCGGAGCGGCTTCTTCACGATGACAATGAAGACCAGCACGATGGCCACGATCATGATGAAGACCTCGGTTCTACTGTCGCTGGTGGTGGAAATGGTGACCACGAAGGCCCATCGGCTGCACTGCTGCAACTGAAGGGAAACAGGAGAAGAAGCGGAACGTCCGAGCGCGTTCCAGCCGAACCTAACTGCCCAGCCGATGTTTTCCGACCCGAGCGAACGTCTCCGCGGTGCGCTGTTGGATGGTACTGCGAGTCCTGCCGACATTTTAATGCGATCCGCGTGCTCAACCCGACCAATATGGCGCTCTCAACTGTTAGTGTTACAACATTCTCAGCTGTTGCATGAATTTATCATGCAAAAATACCTTAAGCCGGCTCCGGCAGAAGATGATCGAGTTGCTTCGCATCATAAGTTTCGGAAGGGCTAGACAGCATCTAAATCTGCGCCAGCGCCAAACTTGTAATGCAAAGGGCGCACTCTTCATCCTTTCACTTCTTTTGCCAGTCTTGCATTACAGGTTCATGTAACAGTTGGGAATGTAACGTTTGAGAACGCCATAATCAACGGCCACGGGATCGGGTGGCACGACCAACGATCGCCAAACAGTATGGATGTGTCAGGATCGAATTCAAAATCGACAAATATATAAGTTGAAATGATTTCTCATGCATAATATGCAGCCCACAAAGTGCCTGTCTTGCAGAGTAGGCAAGTGAGGCAGATTGTAAGCCTGTTGAGAGGTAGAAACCGAGCTGCTAAAGTAGCATGACAAAATGCGTCCTCATCGTTACCCAAACAGCGTGGCGAACTTGATTCCGGTTCTACCCAATTTTTCCATGCGCCACTTGGAAGCTGGGTTACAACTGGCGTCCGTTTTATGCGTCACAAATTATTTGAATTTCAACTAACTTTGTCGATTTCAAACCTGACTCTTCCATAAACACCGCCGCCGGAATTCGGTGGGTGAATGAACACTGGCCCAGTGGGTCTGGAAACCCTCCTGGCGGGAGTCCCTCCTGGAGCGAGTGTCCCCACACCTTTAGCCAGACCTTGATCAGTGACAGATCCGACCGCCACTTCGAGTGCGCGCGGGAGCAGATGGAGAAACTGCGACACGAATGCTCGGCCAATCGGCAATGGGACCACCCGCAGGGAGCGGGATGCCATGCCTTGATGACCGTAGTCCGCGGCAGCCGCTCAGACAGGAAGCACAAGATGGAGTGGTCTCAGAGAGTTTACCACGGGACCGACTGGAGAGCCCTGAAAACGGGGGAAGTAATATCAAATGCAAAAGTGTCTGGGTCTGGAAGATTCCGGGATTTGTCATGCCAGTCCGGCATGTTGACTCTGAGCTCTGTATTGCGTGGCCGCAAAGGTGGGCTTCTCTTGTTGAGCACTGTCATGCAAAAACGCAGTTTCTCATGCTGAGGACGCAACTCTGAAGCACGGAAAAACTTGTCATGTTTGGCAGTGCATTACAGTAATATGCGCATTTTTATTCCCTGACTTGCATCACAAGTTTCCAGACCCAGACATTTTTGCAGTTGATAAGTAAGTTTGTCGACCGACATGAACGACGAGGACTGGCTAGAAAAATTGTCGCCCTCGGGCTGGAAAGAAGCAGGCGGCACGACGTGGGACGAGATCAAAACGCGGCTAAAGTGGGCGAGGCAGAACAACGAAGACATCATCACCATGACGTGCAAGCCCAGACCCTGTCAGCTGATCTATGGCACGTCCACTCAAAGTGGAGAAGGCTGGGGCACGGGCCTAGGGGGCTCGGCGGTTACCTACTACGACGGCGGCTTGCCAGCGGAGTCGGATCCGAACGGCGCCTGCAGAATGAGTGCCTGCTATCCGAGTGCACAAGAACTCCTCCTCCCCCTCATGCAGACCATCCTTGCCACTATTATTCTATCTGATTGAAGATCGTACGACCCCGATGAGACAAGCCCACCGGCTTGGTTGCAGAGCACTATGTTGGGCGCCCCGATGGTTGATCCCCTATCTACTTCGGGCGCCGTGGATTTTCAAAAGAGCAGACGATCGGAGGGGGCTGACCCACCACCCTTGCTCCTTCCGGATTTCCGTGGATTTTTTTTGGCTGCCTCAAAAAATAAAAGGATGATTTCTCTCCCGCATGCTATGGTCGAGTCAGAGAAAGCATTCCTTTATTTTTCCCCAAAATCCAAATATTTGCGGAAAAATCCTGGAAAACCCGCATGAAATCCCTGCGCAGGTGGAGCCGCACAGGGGTGGGGTCGGGGGGGGGGGGTGGGGGGGGGGGGGGGGGGGTAGTTGAATGCCCCGCCACAGGTGCTCGACCCCCCATCAAGGTATTGGAAAACCCGCCGGCAATCACAGGGCCGCGGGGCCGCGTCGTGGAATAGGTTGCGTTCCTTGGTCTTTGTGGGTTGGGTTTCGTTCCCGTTGGCCGCAGCTTTGCAGCTGACGACAGCGGGGCCTATTTCTGATGCGCCGCCCTCGCGTGTTTGCTTCGGGCCCCCGGCGAGTTTGGTGCCGCACCGAAACGATCGGGACCGGCCAAGAAGGAGGCGAGTGTTTGCGCACTATAACCAGGCCAAACGCCCCCCGAACGCTTCGTGCCCCTCTTCGGCCTTCATGAAGCGGCGCGCGCTTGCCATCGGGAGGGTCTTTAAATGCCACCACCCCATGCCGAGTAATTCTAGAAATAGCGCAAGCCATGCAAGGCCCATAGAGCCCAAACGCTCGCCCCAGACACGCGCTCTGCCATCGTATTTATGTGCGCGAAAAATCCACGAAAATCCAAACGCGTTATCTCATCGAGCGAAGTCCAGTCCAACGCCTGCAGAATGAGCGCCTGCTATCCGAGTGCACAAGAACTCCCCCTCATGCAGACGGCCTGAACAGGTCGAGCAGGAGGGTCGAAGCGGCCTCTGCGTGGTCAACACAAACGTTGATCCAGCAAGCACGGGCGCTAGCGCCGCAGTTTAGAGCAGGCCTACTCATATCATAATTATACGTAGATGACTTGTCATGCAACATAGGACATCCAAGTCCAACTCCAAGACCAAGAGTAAAGGCTGCAACAGCAGCTTTTGAATATTGCATTGTATTTTTAGATGCTGCGTGACTTCTACGAAACATGCGGGACGGGGGGAGAAGTAGTTCAGCACCTTTACATCTGTTGCAACGGACAATATTGGGCGTCGAGCAACAATGGTGTAGGAGGGAGTGGGCGTCGTCGCAGGGTCTTCGCATATGCGTGCGACAATACCATCGCACAATCAGAGTCGAACCAGCGGCGACGTTGGCACGAATTAGGGTCGCTATGAACTGCAAAAGTATCGTACTCGTATAAGTGCATTACAAATCTCCTCAGCAAGAGAAATGGGATTTGTCATGCATGCTGATTTGCCTATGCCTTCGCAACAAGATTTTTTGTAATGCAAGACTTGCACGTATTTTTTATACGAGTGCGATACTTTTGCACAGGATTGTCGAATTGGGGCAGCAACTCCGGCCAGAAACCGCGAACACGGAGCGCGGCTGCATACATATTGTGAGGAAAAATCCCCCCTCCCCATATTGAAAAGGACATTTGTGATGCTGGATTTGCGTACACAAATCGACTTGTATTGCTAGAAGGCAAAGAGACGCAGTTGCGGCCTAAATCGTAGGCGATTTGTCATGCTGTTTCTCACTTACAGCGACCTCCTGTGATGCTGAAGGTGCAAGGTTTTCCCACGCCAGCCAGCACTACAGTCCGCATCTTTTGCCTTCTAGCGTGACAATATGACTTGTGGTAGCAGATCATGCTACACAAATCTCCGCTTTGGTATGGGGAGGGAGGATTTTTCCTTACGATAATACATCCAGCCAGGTGACATCGTCCGAAGGACCGCCCACGCCTATGGAAGCGTCAGGTTTGAAATCGACAAAGTTGAAATGATTTGCCACGCATAAAATGGACACCAGATGGAAGACCAATTTCTAAGCGGCGCATGACAAATTTTCGGAGCACCGGAATCCAATTTGTCACGCTGTTTGAGCACAGAAGACTGCTTTTGTCATGCTCCTTTAGCAGCTCTATCCCAAACCCTAAATTGGCTGACAATCTGCCTCACTTGCCATCCCGGCAAGACAGGCATTTCATGCCTTGCATTTTGTGCATGACAAATTATTTCAACTTTGACGATTTCAATCCTGACAGATCCATAACGCCCTCCCGCTGGACATTGGCCGGACGGAGGAGACTATCACGAAGAAAAAACTGTTTCTCTGTGAACTTGTAATGCAGAAAATGTATGTCAGAAGAGAACTCAGAAGTGTTTGTCTTGCTACACATGGAAGATGACAATGGATGTTTAGCTGTGCTTTCCCTTAGGAGTCTCGCATGGCAAATTTTCTCTGTGATCGATGTAGAAGAAACTTGTGATGCAAAACTTGCAAAAAATTTCATACAGTGAAGCACCCCTTTCGCGCGATAGAGACGAAGCCGCACACCTCCGTCGGGTGGTACTGCGAGACCTGTCGGTCCTTCAACGTGATTCGCGTTGTGAACCCGAACACCGGCCGTGGGGTGGGGTGGCATGACCGCCGCGCGGGCGAACAAATTACCGCGGGCAAGCCCTGGACGCACTGTCCCGGCACCGGCGCTCAAGTTGCGGACCGGCACTTCAAATGCGCTAAAGAACGGGTCGACGATATCCTGTGTACAAACGTACCCACACCAGAGTTGTAATGCAGATTTGCAAAGACAGGAAGACTTGTAATGCGCATCCCCATGAGAGCCATTTCCAGCCGTGTTTTGGAATTTGTGACGCTGTGAACAGGATGAGCAGATGAATCTGTGACGCGGCTGCACTTGCTAACCTGCACTACACTGCAAAGCGCAACTTGTCATGCGTGACTCACGCAACTCCTAGGCTTGTGTTGCAAAATCCCCATCCTGACTCTGGTGTGGGTATGTTTTTACTCAGGATAGACGAGCTTTTTCACGAATGCGCGAACAACGGACGCACAGGAGGGGGCTGCCACTCCGTGCTCACCGTGATACTATCAAATGTAAAAATGTCTGGGCCTGGAAGAATGCAACTTGTCATGCTAAATCTGCAGCATGCACAAATCTGTGTTGCCTGATTACCAAAAGTCGTCCAGTTGTGACCAAGTCGGGAGGTAGTTTCTCATCCAGGATAGGCATTAGAAAGGTCTCGCGGAATCTGTCATGCTAGGTCCTGCATTCCAGACCTCATGGGTCATGGAGAAGCAGCATGACAAATCGCGCATTCTTCCAGACCCAGACACAACTTTTGCATTTGATAGCTCCGCGGCGGCAGCAATGAGCTGGAGCGGACGGAGAAAATTTTTCCCGGGAAGAGTTGGGGGTCCAAAACCACCAACGTAAGCCCGGTGCCCGGCGACTGGCTGACGCAGCTGGCACCGTCGGCTTGGGACCGCGTGGACGAAGGTATGGCACCGATCTGGAACGATATCAAGGACGAACTCGACAAGGCGCGGGACAACGGGGACGACATCATCGCGATGACATGTAAGCCCAGACCGTGCCAGCTCCACAGCAACGGGGAAGGCTGGGGCGTGGGGGTGGGTGTGCCATCTTACGCCGCCATGGCGATCACGTATTACGACAATTCAGCAGATTACAACGTTGCGTGCAGGCAAAGCGCGTGCTGCAATGGCTACTGGTTCGGCCACTCGGTGTACGGAAAGACATGGGATTACGCGTGCGCCGACACGATTACTACCGGGACCACTGGACAACTACCAACCGACAGCAATCGAAACCAAAAAGCCCGCACGGTAATCGTCGGCGACTACATTCACCGTGAGAACATCAAGAAAACGGAAACCCTGGACGCGAGTATGGCGTTCTCATACGTTACATTCTCGAGCTGTTGCATCGATCATGCTTTGTCCTTGTCATGCAAAATTACCAAAACCCGCCACGCGAGCAAGGCACTTTGCATGACAAAGGCAAAGCTTCGAAGGGCTTGGGCTACACAGAATGGAAATTGGTTGTGCCGAATTTGTGATGCGAGAGTTGCAGCAACAAGCCCCTGTCATATTTGCTATTCTTGCAGTTGCATCACAAAGTCATGGAAAGGTCGTTGAGAATGTAACGTTTGAGGACCGGATACCGAACAGCTGTAGCTTGTACTCCGGCATGGCTATCACACAGAAAAAAGCTGGCAGGACATATTTGTAATGCGAAAATCAATACACAAAAAAACATCGCATTGCATATCCGAAACAGCATGCTACGGGGCCACCCATGACAAGTTATTTTTGTGCGTATTTATTTTTGCATATACAAATATGCCCTGCCAGCTTTTTTCTCTGGGATAATGGCGGCCCAGTGCCAAAGGCATGACTGCGCTTCCCAAGGCGCAAACCAGTATGTGAACGGGAACAACGTCCTCACCACCTACGAGAAAATATCGCAGGAAAAAACTCTTTCACTGTAAACTTGTAATGCAGAAAGTGCATCTACTCAGAAGGGTTTGTCTTGCTATACATGCAAGACAGTGGAAGATTTTCTAGCTGTGTTTTCCCCTATAGGATGAAAACCTTGCATGGCAAATTTCCTCTGTCATGTAGGGCACACCTGTGAAGATGCAAAATAACTTGCAAAATCCTATACAGCGAAACACTTTTTCCACACGATAGAAAACGGCTCCCGGCTACTGGGACCGCCTGCAGAAGTGCTGCTTCCAGCCGAGTCCTCGGGATTACCAGTGTTCGGGCTGCGCTTGCCGCCACGGGACTGCGGCGTGCGCCCCGGCCACAGGCGTCCCGCAGAACGCGGACGAAAACGGACACGCGGTGTTTCAGATATGGCGTTCTCAAATGTTACAATCTCATCAATTGTATACATGAATTTGTGATGCAAGAATTGGAAAAGTAAAAAGAGGGAGCTTGCACCCCTCGCATCACAAATAATTGGGCGCAGATTTTCATGCTCTTTAGCCCTTCAAAAATTTGTCATGCGAAATAGCTCCATCGTGTGGATGCTGATGTGCATTCTGCATGACAAAACACGCACTAGTTGAGAATGTAACGCTTGAGAGCTCCATACCAGAACTGTCAGAGCTGCAACACGCTGTACAGGGAACGGGTATCCTGTGCAAAAGTATCGTACTCGTAGTAATTGCAGCATGCATTACAAATCTTTTTCTTAAAGTAGATCCGCATGACAAATTTTATTTCCCATGCTGAGGAAATATGCATTTAAATTTATACGAGTGCGATGCTTTTGCATTGCATAACGGGACGGGTGGCCCAATGACAACAGCAAGAATAACGGCTGCTACCCTGTCTGCGGAGACCCAGCGGGCGTGCAGAAGTGTCACGAAAAGGAGAGCGGATCTGCGGCGAATGCGTATCCACAGTAAATAATTTCCCGTAAACATACGAATGCAGTCTCTGCATGACAAAATTGGGCTTCGATCCTAGTTTAGCATGACAAGTGATGTTACGCCCCGAATTCCTGAAATTTGTGATGCATTTTGTACACGTAGATGTACGTGAAATTTGTATTGCATAATGCGAAGACCTATCGCATCCCGTCGCCGGCCGACACCTATTGTCCGCTAGAAGGCTCGATGACCACGGACAGCGCGATTTTAGCAGGAGACTACCCGGCGGCGAAGTGCCAGGACAAGTGCTGCCGCGTTGGCTGCAAATACCCGTCGGCGGGAACCCTGAACAAGATCGATGTCAGCGGCATGGTGCCCCAGCAATGGAGCTACTACTTGCGGCAGGCAATGTTCCTCCCGAGCAGTGGCGCAGCTCAGGAGCTTGATGGCGTGAGCTGCAAACCCGGCAAGTTCGAGAGCGCGAATGGGGCGAGGCCGAAGTTCCAATGCCCCAGCGCGGGCGCAGCGCTGAAGCTTGTCAGCGGATGCGACATCGCGGTCCCGGACCCAATCACTTCTTCCGGCACGGTATCAAATGCAAATACGTCTGGGTCTGGAAACTTGTGATGCTGGTTGACAAAGACGAGGGTGCCTCAATTGAATGGCAAGCATGACAAGTTTTGGGGGTGCTACAGTCTTGGCTTTTCTGCATGACAAAGTCAGCTTCTGCATGACAGAAAAGTATGGCTTTTGGGCAATGTGCATGACAGACTTGAGAGTCATGTCAGACAAGCATGATAACCTCCCATTCTTCCAGACCCAGGCATATTTGCATTTGATGCACGGGCGCCGGCCTGACCGTGACCTGCTCGGAAGCGGACTGTCCGTGGGAGAAGCCCTACGTCCCGCTGAACTGCGCTCGGGGCCCGCAGCCCTGCGGCGACGGTTTCTGCGACAGTTGCGAAGTGAGCGGACCGGGGGCATTGCCAGCTGGAAAGGCCCTGCCGGCCGGGACAAAGCGGGGCATGTGCTGTCAGTACAGCCCAGCGGGGGCACAGGAGCGGCAGGCCGTCCACAAAGTCACGGCGTTATCAAGTGCAAATATATCTGGGTCTGGAAGATTCTGATTGCGAGACTTGTCATGCTAGTCTGGCATGACTCTGAGCTCTGCATTGCGAGGCGATGGGTTACCCGGTCGGCAGAGCCGATCCACACGAACGAACGAACGATGCCCGCGAAGAGCTCCTCTTGTTTGTCATGCAAAAGCGCAGTTTCTCATGCGGAGTACGCACCTGTGAACCACGGAAAAACTTGTCATGCTGGGGAGCGCATTACAGTGTGCTTGCTATTCCCGTCCTTGCATCACAAGTTTCCAGACATCCAGGGATATTTGCAATGCATAGGCGTCGAGTGAATACAACGAGATGCACTCTGTGAAGTACCTGGTTGACGGCAACCTCGCTGGCCCGATGTTGAACACGGCCGACAATGGCTTCAGCTCGCCAGGCCAGAAGTGCCCTTGGGTCCAGTTTGAGCTGCCGGGCGCGGACACGGAAGTGGGGAACGTGCAGTTGACCACGGTCCTCGATGACCTCTATCGCCTGCGCCGCCTGCTGTTCCTCACGGGGGCCTCTGATAACTCGGCGTGGAACCCGGGCAGTTCGCAGCGGCCCGAGGGCAAATTTGGACCCGGTGCGACCATGCAACAAGCCGGCATTCGGGTTCTGCTGACCAACACCGCACGCGACCGGTTTGACACGTCCGAATGGCATGAGGCAAACGGGGTGCGGAAATGGTGGCGAGGTAAGGCTCACGGCAATGCCTGTCCGCAAGTCAACAACGCCGAAGTGTGCGAGTGGGTTCGCTGCCAACCCTCTGCTGCTGGCGTGAACGGCTGCAAAAACCGTTTTGTCGCGTCCACTGCTGGCGGCCAGGAAGTCGGGACCTTAACAGTGAACTGCGCTGGGAAAAAGGGGAAGTATTTGACCATCGAGCTGCCGGGCGTTTCGGCATATGAATTGCAGAAGTAACGTACTAGTATGAATTGCAATACAAATTGGCTCAGCATTACAAATTGAATTTGTCATGCGGATTTGCCTTAGGGACTAGATTTGTAATGCATAAATGCAATTAGTACGAGTGCGATCGTTTTGCACAGGATACGGCAGGCGGAGGAGACCAAATCCGGATTTTGAACTTGAACGAAGTGATATCATATGTAAAAACGTCCCCACCCGCCCATAGTCAAGTTGGGAAATCTGCAAGAAAAATCAGCAGTCTTTGACTGTTGCGCATAACAAGTTTGCGCTCGCTATGTGAAGATCCTGTTTAGCTAGTTCAGCAGCATGACAGATCTAGCCTATCATGCTGATTGGAGCCTGACAAATTACGAAACACGACTAGAGTGCTACGCTTCTCATGCGGCTCCGCATGAGAAATATAATTCCCAGCATGAAGATTTTCATGACATTGACAACTATGGGGTTCTTGGGGCGTTTTTACACAGGATAAGTGAAGATTTCCCCGGTCATACCCTCCTCTCCGGAGTGCAGTCTGTTGCAGCAAAGCACGCAAAAATACGTGACCACTGCGTACTTGAACGGGCTGACTGCGGCCACCTACGGCTCCGCCCCCTCCTGCCACGCGGTGCCGACGTGTCTCGACTTGTGCGGCGGCACGGCTGGAGAATGCAATGCCGGATGTGCAGGCGTCCGGGCATCAGGCCAGAGCTGGGAGACAGCTTGTTGCCTGAAGGGCGACGCGGACGCCCCCGGCGCGTGTGGCCGCGTCCGTTCGTTTCCGATGGCCGACGACCCCCGGGTTCTTGCGCTTCCCTCGCCACAGAAGTACTACTACCACGAGTGCGTGACGCTTCGGTTTTTCGATCAGGGAAAGTCCAAAAAGCCGAACGCGGGAAACAACAAGCTGCTTCTATGCTGTGCAAAAGTAATATCGCACTCTTACTAATTGCAAATACGCATGACAAATCTTCATCCTAAGGTAAAACAGCACTACAAATTTCGTTTTTCTTCTTGCCAAAATTTGTAATGCAATTTATACTAGTAGTACGGTACTTTTGCAATGCATAGCTTCTCAAAGTGGACCACGGGGGTGACCCGGACAAGATTTCTGACGGGCACATGGCTATGAGAGTGCAGAACCCCCCCTCCCCCTCATTATTTGTCATGCAAAATACCAAACCCACGCTTTGCCTCTTGACACTTTTCGCATGACAAGTTCTAGAAGCTCAAACAGGGCTAAGATCCTGGGTGAATTTGTCATGCAAAACCTGCATTCATCTTGCCGACGCTTGTATTGCTGTTTATGCCATACAAATGAGGGGGAGGGGGAGTTGTACACTCCCATAGTGGCATGCGGCGGAATAAACAGTTGCTCCTCCGGGGGGTACTGCAATGCCTGCAAGGTGATCGGGGGAAAGGACTATGGCAACTTTGAAGGCGCCTGCTGCCAGTGGCGCTCCACGGACAGCGCCAATGCCGGGGACTGGCACGCCAGCGACCCGCGGTATCCACAGTAAATTTATTCCCGTACACGACGTACAAAAACAAATGCGGTCCCTGCATGACAAAATTGGGCTTCGATCCTAGTTTAGCATGACAATTGTTACGCCCCAAAAAATTGGTGAAATTTGTGACGCACTTTGTCCACGTGTACAGGAAATTTGTATTGCATACGCGGGAGTGCAAGATTATCACGGCCCTGAAGGACTGGAGTGTGCAGCACTCTGTGACGGCAGCTATCAAATGTAAAAATGTCTGGGTCTGGAAGAATGCAACTTGTGATGCTGCATTAGGATTCCAAAAAAATCTGTATTGCATGAGTACCAAATGGAATGCAATTTTTTCTACGCTGAGAAGGCATTTGTCATGCAGAATAGGCATCAAGAAGCCTTCAAAAAATCTGTATGGCTAGGGTATGCTTATGCATCACAGACATCATGGCTCATGCAAAACGTGCATGACAAATCTCGCATTCTTCCAGACCCAGACATTTTTACATTTGATAGCAGCGTACCTGAACCAAGATTTTGGTGGCTTTCTGAATAAACCGCAAGGCCACCGCTCCTGCGTCGCTGTACCGAAGTGGGTATCGAATGCAAAAATGTCTGGGTCTGGAAGGTTGGAACTTGTCATGCTGTTTTTGGATTCTGAAAAAATTTGTATTGCTCGACCAGCAAGAAAGGTCCAGTTTGTGCTACGCGGACAGGACATTTCTCATGCAGAAGGCGCATCAGGAAGCCGTCTAAAAGTCTGCGATGGTAGGTCATGCATTACAGGCCTCATGGGTCATGAGAAATATGCATAACAAATCTTGCATTCTTCCAGACCCAGACATTTTTGCACTTCATAGTGGGTCAGGTCGTACGAGCAGTCCTGCTTGTCAAAATGCAGCAACACGCTGGGACTGTGCAATCAATGCCCAAACCATCCGACCAACACCAATCTGTTCGGGGCGTGCTGCAAGAAGGGCGACAACAGCGCTACTCGCCCCTACGAGTGCGGTCTCGTCCAGGGCGGTTTTTCCTTCGCGGATCGGCTGAAAGACACGGCTTATGGGAACACGTTTTTTGTAGAAGATATGGCGTTCTCAAACGTTACATTCTCAACTGTTACATGAATTTGTGATGCAAGAATCGCAAAAGTTAAAGGAAGGACCTTGCGCGTCTTGCATGACAGATTTGGCGCAGATTCTCAGCCTGTTTGGCCGTCTGAGAATTTGTCATGCGAAGCAGCTTGATGGCGTTATTAGTCAAGGTAATTTTGCATGACAAATCATGTAACAGTTGAGAATGTAACAGTTGAGAGCGCCATAGAAGAGTGTGTGTACGTACAAACGACCACCACTACGACTACCCCGGCCCCGGTCCACTGCGTGGGCCGGTGGGACCCTGCCGAGGATATCGCAACGCTGAAGACGCAGTGCACCAGCGGGAGCATTCTGATTCGGGAGTACCAAGTGACAACTCCGAGTCAACACGGCGGAAACGCTTGTCCAGCCGCGGATGGTGACGAATACGAGATAACCTGCCCCACGGATTGCGTCGGCGAGTGGAGCAAGACACGGCACCAATTAAAAGCTCAGTGCACGGGAAATGGGGAGACGTTTACCCGAACGTACACACGTTTGACGGAAGCCGCCCCTGGCAGCGAGAGGACACTCCCCGACGGAACTCCCACAACCTGGGGAACGGCCGGTCAGGCGTGCGCCCACGCGCAGAAGGAAACGGATTCGATCACCTGTGCCGAGTACCAGTGCACCTGCACGCACGGAACACCTCTCACCGGGTCGGAGTGTGGTCAGGAAGGGCAGACGCCCGGATGTGTCGAAGATGGGTGCCATGCTGGGCACCACCCGGAGCCCATCGGTGCTGGCAAATTTGAGTGCGTCGTCAACCAGTGCACCTGTTCGGTACCAGGCGGCACTGCTGCGACGGGAGTAGACTGCGATGAAAACGGGTCGACGGAAAAGTGCACCGACTGCAGCGACCTGGACGTGTATTACAATGACGGCGGTATCTGTCGGGAGCACGAGTGCTCTTGCACGCACGGCACCGCGGCATCCGGTGCGGGCTGCGCCCTTGTAAACGGCAATAAAGTCGAAATGTGCACCGAATGCACGGCCCAAGGGTACTACCTCAACAGCGCTACCAAGCTTTGTGAGGAAAAGCAGTGCACCTGCGAGGGCGGGACGCCGGCCACGGGACCGGAATGTCCGAATCACGACGACCAAAAGTGCATACGAATTGCAAAAGTTGTATCGTACTACATTACTAGTACAACTAGTAGTAGTGTACCTACTCGAAATGATCGCATGACAAATTTTCTCAGCATGAGATATGGAAACTGTGATGCGGATTCACCTTGAGAACGAGATTTGTCAAGCATGATTGCGATTACTACGAGTGCGATCATACTTTTGCAATTCACAGTGCACCGTTTGCAACGACGCTGGGCTCCGGCTAACCGAGGACGGTGAGTGTCTGCAGAACAGCTGCAACTGTGTATTACAATGAGAAATGCCCTCACCCCCAGCTTGGCAGCCTCTGTATTGCAAACCTTTCCAACAGAAACATTCTCCATCTTGCATATCTCAGCATCACAAATTTTCCATGCTGAATAGGTCAAATCTGTGTTGCGAAGTAGCCCAACAGCAGCCGGATCTGTTATGCACAAGGCACCTTGCCTGCCCTGATTCTGCATCAGAAACGCTCGCAATTCTTTTATGCAAGACAAAAAGCTTTCACTTGGAAACTTTGCATGACAAACTTCTGCAAATTTCGGGGTGGGGGCATTTTTCACTGTAATACTGTGCGCAGGGCACGGCCGCGGTGGGCGCGCACTGCACGAGCAACAACGGCCACATTTGCGCATCCTGCGAGCACGACGGATTGCGATTGGAAGTAGATGGAGACTCTACTTTTTGCAAGCAAAACGTCTGCACGTGCAACAACGGCACGAAAGCCGAGGGTGTTGATTGTACAATGCACAACGCGGAAATCTGCGTGTCCTGCGAGCACGACGGATTGCGATTGGAAGTGGATGGGGAGTTTACTTTTTGCCGGCAAAACGTCTGCACGTGCAACAACGGCACGCAAGCTCAGGGTGTTGATTGTACGGAACACAATGCGGAAATCTGCGCGTCGTGCGACCATGACTGGCTTCACGTGGACAAGAGCGAACACTGTGTGCAAAACGTCTGCACGTGCGCGAACGGGGAGGAGGTCAGTGGTGAAGCGTGCAAACAGCACGGGCTAGAGAATTGTGCCAGTTGCGATGCCAATGCCGGTTTTGCGCCGTTCACGGTAGTTGATACTCGCGGGGAACAAGAGGACTCTGATACGGAAGTAGTAGAAGATGCGGGAGCTGCAAACACGACAACCATGGAGGCCGTCCACCAAGTTATTTGCTGGCCCACGTGTGCGATGCTGAAAAACCAGTGTAGTAGTACTGGAGGCGACCTAGTATATGCATTGCAAAAGTATCGTACTAGTAGTAATCGCATTACAAATTAGCTCCGCATGACAAATGGAATTTGTAATGCTGTTTTACTTTGAGATAAAAATTTGTATTGCATGACTGCGATTACTACGAGTACGATACTTTTGCACAGGATATAGTGCCCGAAGGTGCCATGATCGTGCCGGACGAGAGGCAAAACACCTTTTGCACAGACCCGGCTATCAAATGCAAGTATGTCCGGGTCTGGGAGGTTGCCAGATTTGTCATGCTAGTCTGGCATGACTCTGAACTCTGTATTGCGTGGCCGCGAAAAGAGCTTCCTATCTGTCATGCAAAAACGCAGTTTCTCATGCGGATTACGCAACTCTGAACCACGGAAAAACTTGTCATGCTGGACAGCGCATTACAGTGAGCTCACTCGTCCCTTTCTTGCGTCACAAGTTTCCAGACCCAGACATTTTTGCATTTGATACCGGCCACCGCTTTACAACTTTCCTCGCCAGACGAGACCGGATCTTCATCTTCGTTTGTCTTGCGCCTGGAAAAGTACGTGCCTGGCATTCCGGAATGTGAGGCGGCGTGTTGTGTGGAAGCGAGCACAACGTCGACCACGACGACAACGACTATGGCTCCTGCGAACGCCACCAGCATCGACGATTTGCGCGACATTATCGCTGTCGCGGCAAACTGTGAATTGGCGGTCGCCTTGCTGCGAGGGTTTCTGCAGCCTTTCGTTGCGGCCGAGACCATTACGCAGTCGGCCATGGACACACTTGTCGCTGATCTGCTCGCCGCGTGTCAGCAAGGAGGGGGTGACAACTCCACAGCTATGGATCACGTGCTCGACGAAGTGGATGACGTGATCTCCACGGTAACTGGCGGTGGAGCAGAAGCTCAACAACCAAAAGAAATCGTCTTCAAAGACGATGAGACCACATCAACCGAAGAGCCACAGGGAGCAGGAGCGGAGACACTGGAAGACACCTCCAAAGAGGAAACAGCAGGCGTGGATATGGTCTGCATCATTCTGCTCGCCGGGGCTGCGCTGCTTCTCCTGCTCCTCTGTCTTGTCATTTTCTGTTGCTTCTGTCGCGGTGCGAAAGACGACGAGAAGGAGCCGGGAAACGAATTATCCCAAAAGTTGTTGCGGGATTCCGCCGCGGGGGCAGCGGCCCCCGGGGCTGAGGAGGGTGTCTCTGTGGTCGTGAAGAATTCGGACGGCCACACCCCCGTAGACTTCGCCCGCTCGGTGGTCTTGAAGGGCTTCCTGTCCGCCGGATTGTCGCGGGCGTACGCGGAAAAACTGGCCCAGCAGGTAGAGGACGAAAGTGTCGAGGACGATGAACTCTTGTTGACGCCCACGGATCCGAGTGATTTGCAAATCCTCCGGAAGTATGCATGGCACAAGTACTACCGCACTACAACTAGTAGAAACTGCATTAGCATGAAAAAAGGAGTTTGTCATGCGGGCTTAGCTTGGGAAACAGAATTATCATGCGTAACTGCAATTAGGTTTAGGACGAGTGCGATGCTTTTACAATGCATAACCCGCTGGGCATGGACTTTGACGATTCCGACCCGGAACGGGTGGGCCGCATGCGGGAATTCCTCAACAATGTACATCAGAAGCAGCATGAAGACCGGATTCACGAGCTGCAGGCGGAAGCGCGGAACACGGCGGCGGAGGCAGCAATCGCGGTATGCGTTGCAAATATGTCGGGGTCTGGAAACTTGTGATGCGAGTTGGACAATCATGAGGATGCCTCAATTGATGACATCAAAGCATGAGAAGTTTTTGAGTTGCTAGGTGTTGCCTATTCCGCATGGCAAACTGCGTTTCTGCTTCTGCATGAGAGAAAATTCGATCGCTCGGGTAAGGTGCATGACAGACTTGAGGGTCATGCGGGTCGAGCATGACAAGCCTTCCACTCTTCCAGACGCAAGCATATTTGCAATCCATACGCGGCCGAAGATCACGACGATTTAGTGGAGGCGAAGATGCGTTTGATCGAGAACGGTTACTCGCCTCACCTGGCCGGTTATCTGGCGGCCAAGTTGCTGGAAAAGCTCGCGGAAAAACGGGACAAAACGGACCCGGACCACAAGGGCCCGCTGATCCGGAAAAGCGCCGGGAATGTCAAGATTACGTTGGAAGACCTGCAAGAGTGGGATTGGGAGGGCCACGCAGAGCCGGAGGACCGGGCAAAAGTGCATGCCATGATCGACGCGGCTATCCACAGTAAATCATTTTCCGTACACGTACAAATGCTGTTTCTGCATGAGAGAAGTTGCCTTCAATCTCTATTACCATGACAGGTTTGACACTCCACGTTACGGAAATTTGTCATGCATTTTGTACATGTGCGGGAAATTTGTATTGCATAATGGCTGTGGAAAGTGCCTTCGAAGCGGATTTTCAAAACTACCACCACCACTACGGCGAGGATCTGGAGCAGACTATGCATTTTGCAACAGCATCGTGGTACTACGTATAAATTGCATCACAAATTAGGACAGAAGTGGAGTTGTTTGTGTAATGCTGATTCAGGTTGTGAACAAAGATATTTGTGATGCAAGACTGCGATTTGCTCGATACTTTTGCAGTTCATACAGACCACGTTGCGCCGCTCGGTGGACGAATTGGACCTGCACGAATTTGACAAATATTTTTCCATCATGCCGGACAAGCACCATTACAAACTCACCGGGGGATCCTCTACCCTCCGAAGCGGTGTGTCCGCAACTTCTTCACGCCCGTCACAAGGCAGTGCCGATAAGCAGCAGAAAGAACCGCAGCAGCAGGCCGCGGGAAGTACTACCGCCCGGGGTGCGAGCTTTGTGGACCGCGTGAGTGCAGCGATTGACAACTCGCGCGACACTGGTGCTGCGGGACCGCTGCTTCCACCTCTGGCGACCGGGATGTACGAAGTGTCTGGGATTAGCAGTGCGATTACTGGTGGGTCTGGTAAATTCGCGCAGGCGAGCGCGACACGGCGTGATTCACAAGAAGGATTCAAGCCAAAAAGCTCCGCAAAAGTGGTTGAGTCCGCCCAGTTTGAGGCCGGGTCACGTACCGGTACGGAAGAAGAGGGAGCTAGCGGACATGAGGTATGCATTGCAAAAGCATCTGTATCGCACTCGCAGGTGGAAGTGAAGTCTCGCATGTTGGCAGATGCGCTTTTCTACCCGATAACTCCGCATAACAAGTTCCATTTTCCATCATACTAGTTAGACAAATTTATCTATTGCCCTGCACTTACACTACAACGTAGATGCGCGATACTAGCATAGCTTTTGCAATGCATACATTGGTACTGCGCCGAAGAAGAAGAAAAAAGTTGCTGCGAAGAAGAAAAAGGCCGCGGCACCGCATGGGGCGGTGAAACCGGATGAAGATTCCGAATCGGCGGGAAGCGCGGAGAAGAAGGCGAAAGGAATGCGCTGGGTGAAAACCGGGAAGAAAAGGACCGTGAGAGTTACCAAATCTGGAGACGAGCATGGTAGCTATCAAAGAAAAAAGTTCGTCACGATCACTCATGCGCATTCTTGCAATACAAAATTGTTTGTCATGCGTAAAAATGCATCACAGCCAAACTTTATCAGGGATTTCCCTAGTGTTTCTGCAATACAAGGAAAGTTTGTGATGCTGAGAAAATTTGTAATGCAAAACCTGCAAGTTAGTGACTGTGACAAACTTTTTTCTCTCCATAGTAGCAGTAGCAACCCGAGTAGCAGAGCCAGCAGTCGGGCCAAAAGCCCGAAGTCGGCCGCCGCGATGAAAAAAAAAGTTGCCTCGCCAGCGTACACAACAAGTGACAGCGAGCCGCACGCAGACCTGCCGTCGGGGATTTTTCCCGCCCCCGATGGGATCGACAGCTTTGCCTCCCCAAAATCGCTGTTTGCCGAGCTTTCGCCCGCCGAAAAACTGCTTTTGGAAAGCGCGGAGCACGCCCTGGTCGCCACCGGATTCGTCAAAGCGCATGCGAAGCACCTGGCCAAGAAAATCGCCGCGGTACCGGTGGAAGCGCACAACCAGGAAACCGTGGGTCTGACGAAGCCCGAGCAGGATGCGGTGGCGAAGGGGCTGAATGGGGCAAAGGCGACGAATTTGGAGGAGCTTACCGAGGTGTTGGTGGAACAGAAAAAAGATTTTTTCGCCTCACACCTCTCCGCCCGTGGAGCCGAGCTCCAGTCTCGCACCGCAGTGCAGCAGCAGCAAAAAGAACACCGGTCCTTCCTGTTTTCCAAAATCACTGGGGCCCCCGCCACCTCGAACGCCACCAAAATTTTAAGCGGAGCTGGTGCTGGACCGACGTCGACGTCGAGTGCTGGGGTCAAAGCAAAAAAGAAGGTTGCTGTGAAGAAAAAAGTAGCGGCACAGAAATGAGCATGAAGTACAAGAGATGCAGCGGACGCGAGCTCCTGCGCGACCTGTCGAGGATAACCATCCTGACAGGCAAGAAAAGGGTATTCAAAAGAACCAGAACGAATTGAATTTAACGCAATAGACTAAGATTTTTCTTCACCTCGTTTTGAACTTTTCTATTTCACAGAATCGGTTTTCCGCTTGTTGAGGTTCAGTTTTAATAATTGTTTCACTTTCAAAGATCGTTGCACAGTTCAGTAGACGAGTACGGTTGTCGACTTGAAAATTTTTTACGTTTCGTTCTTATCAGCTCTTCTAGCTTTCACTTTCTTTCTCTCGTTTTCTTTAAATTTCCAACACATCCAGACTTTACGTACGAGATAGCTATCCAGAGTTTCATCTATCTGAATACATTCGAGTGCTGCTTGACAGTGCTGCTTGAATTATTGCAATTTTAGGAACATTTTACAAATTTGAGTTTTGGTTTTCAGTTGGTTCATATTTCAATTTACATTTGCCGCCCTTGTTGATTTCCTTCGTTTATGTTTTATCAATCTCATCTGTCAATATTAGAACCTGTAAGCCTTGTACGTTTTATTTTTGACTCAGAAGTTTCTGGACCACGACGACGTCCACCTGTAGTTTATTTTAGCACCGAAGTTGAAGTATAAAAACCTGCATAATGATCTTCGTCTTCCACAACTGTATAATTTTATGCTCATCTAAAAATGTGAAATTAATTGCTACTGAAGACAAAAATGATACATAGCAGTTTGCTGAGTTTCGCTGAAAAATTTATTTTTGTGTACATTACGTTTTGAAAAAAGTTGTTTATTCATTGACGAAAATTACCTCCGAGAGAGTGCCCGACGCCGACCACTCATTGCACTAGCATGCCACCTGTGTAGTGTTTTGTGCAGAAGTTGAGGGCAGAGCTCCCTCGTCGGTCCTCGTACTTTGCCGTTTCGCGTTTGATATTCTCCTGTATTCGTAAAAGATAAGGAGCAGCGTGGTCGTCCGATAGACATGGACAACTGTCGTATTACATGTTCTTGTTGACAATACTCATTCATCGGTGATCGTAGATGATATCGTCCTCGTTGTCGTCCTCCTCGTTGTCGTTCTTTGCTAGGTGCGCCATCAAAAATCGGTCGTGCTCGTTCATCTATGTGTCGTATTCGTAAGATGTATCTCTACAAAGATTTTTCTTCACTCTCACTTCGTGTTGTTACTACATCTTCGTTCCTAATCCGCGTCGGATGAAGGAGGTTCTTCAGACAACAACTTGCTCGCATCGAAGGAAAAATCAATCGTGCTCACAACAGAAGTTCCCTCATTTTCTTCATAGCCCCCGTCTTCTATCCACCCCACGATATTTTGTGTGTTTCGCTTATTTAGACAGATTACATGCGCTTGCGCAACCAATGCCAGCATTGTTACTCGATTTCAGTAGAGTATGCTTGTCCTCCTAGAATGAGTTGTACCCCAACTCGTGCTGGTGACAGCTAATTTGTCACCAGTACGGCAATGCAAAATCAATAAACATGTAAAAGCTCCACATTGCATCAATAAATGCGGTGGTGTCCTCGTCCGGGAGGAAAGCGTCTTCTACTTCTGTGCCGGGGTCTAGGATAGTTGTTTCTGTTTCTAGTTTTCTGCGGCTTGTGTCGTGGCTTGTGACAGAACAAGTTGTGCCTGATGATGAAAGTAACTTGTTGCAAACAAAACAAAATCCACGCGGTTGGTCGACGTCTTTTAGCTCCTGTTGAACATATTCCGGCGACGGCGAGTTCTTCTTGTTACTGGTAGTGTATTTTGCTTGTTCTTCCGTGCAGAATCAACTTCTACTACCACGACCACCTCATGCTTCGCTGGTGCCGAAGAAAGAGAACAAGCGGACGACCTCTGCTGTCCCCAGTGCAGACGACTGCGACTGGGCGGTTCCTGTCCGTCTCGACGAGGACGAAGAAGACAACGCGTATTGATCTTGCCAACATCTACTTGGAGAAGACCTTCCTACATGTAGTCCTCCTGGCGCTTGTTTTAGTCCTACTACTTGCAGGTGGGCCACGACCGTCGGAGGTTAATAGAAATCTCGATCGCATACATGGTGTCGAAGAGCATGTTGAGCACAGCACAGCAAGTACATCATCACGAACAACCACGACCCCTGGAGCTACTAAAACGGCGACTGTACAACTGTTTGCCCGTGCCCTGTCCCTCACCGTAGTTGAAAAACACAAGCGGAGTAGAAAGAGTAGACTCATCCAAGATGAACAGACAGCGATAAGCAGCACACCAGCGCAGCAGCAGCAGCAAGTAGAACAGCAGCACAGAATAAATAGTGGTAGAAAGAAGATAGCAATCGGAGGGCCTGTAAATAAGAATGGTCGACGTTCATCTCGTGTTCTTCCAGATCGGAGGACGCGGATGGTTGCATCTTCGGGGGCTTCATCCGAAAATAAAGTTTTTCTCCAACACAACCCGGATGACACCGCTATTGCTTTATCGAAGGCAAGAACTACCTCTGTGGTCGAACAACTTGAAGATGGACGAGATGAACATGGACGTGAGGATCAAGAGCACCTGGTGCACGACCCCCGTACTAGCAGGAGGAGAACGACAGCTTCTCAGGACGACGAAACGATCCCAGCAGCGGGAGTAGATGTAGAACCTCCAGAACCTCCGGGTCCGGCGGAAATAGTTGTAGAAGAGCATCCCCCTCAACCTCAAGGTCGTGGACACGAACAGAACCTGAACTTTTTAGAACAGAATCAGAAACAAAAGCAGGGCAAAGACGTAGTAGACCTGTCGCCCCCTTCTTGTTGCGGCGATCTATTAGGAACAGCTCCTGCACAGGATGATCATTCTTCGCACCAACTAATCGCGTTCCGGAACAAGAGCCATGTACCTCCCCCACCAGCTGCGAAGAAGTCTTCAAATGATGGTGATAATAAGTCAGTAGGTGGTCTCGGTCAGGGTCGTGACGTGTCGAAGAAGGAGTTCGAGGCGGTCCAGGACATCCAAGTATGCATTGCAATAAAAGCATCCTACTCCTGTGTACAAATTTTCGCATATGTAACAAATTTTCTCATCTTCAAGAAAAGTGCTGCAATGTGCTATGCTAGATCAGGTAGAAGATGAACAAGTAGATGAGTACAACTTCTGCGATTTATTTTGGTACGAGTGCGATGCTTTATGCTTTTGCAGTGGATACACGGCGCTCCTGCTGAACAATACTTGGGGCGCTCCATCGCAAGAAGGTTTGTCGCTCGGACCCCTGCATGATTTCGGCTACACCTGCGGGTGCGAGCATGGCTTTCCGGCGACCGGAGCCGCTTGCACGGAACCACACGGAAATATTTGTGCCTCTTGCCACGACGAAGGCACCGTCAACTACCTGGCCAACAAGATTTGCTACCCCATAAACCACCCGCGGCCGAAGGCCGGTCGCTGGCTACCGGACACGGATGACCTGTTTCAGAACCAGAACATCCAACCTCTTCCAGCTCACATGGAAGACCCGTGCCGGTACGGAAAAGATCAATACGGAAAAACGGGCACCCGCGAACACTGGCAGACCCTGGAGGCGGGCGTAAGAGTTCGTGGGACGAGCGTTCGCAAGAACAAATGGGCCTGGCCTGGTAATGATCATCTGAATCTGGAGGACTACCTCAACGATGTGTGGGAGGCGAATCAGGTGTGCTTTGGTGGTTACGGGGACGACGGAGCTAGCAAACGAAACGAGGATATTGTCGGGGAATTCGTGATATCCAAAGCAAAAGTTGTATAAGTGATTGATAGCAGCGCTAGCACACCACCGGTAGTGAAAAAGAATATACAAGAAAATCGTACAAAATTAATGATATGCATGATCGTTCGTAGGACCGATAGTGCGTAGAAATAGTACGGAACATCAAAGCTTATCACCAACAGCCTAGATAGCAGAGTCACTACGCGTGCCATGATCACGAATGCAACACTTTTGCAGTGGATACGAGATTCCAAGCGAAGTTGCGGATCGTGGAGCCGTTAGCCAGGTGACACTCGTCCACAAGAAGGGCAAGATCGCATGCGCCGATTCAACCAATTTCGGCTCTTGCAAGCTGGACCAGTGGGCCAGCCTGAATGACGGGAAGGCTGGCGTATTTCTGTCGCGTGACGATCTAGCCGGAAACCCGGTACTCGTATCCTGAGCAAAAACGTCCCCACCTCCCCATGGTCAAGCTCATATTAAATCTGCAAGAAGAACTGCAACGCAAATCTCCAAGTCTTGGGAGTTGTGCATGACAAGTTTCCGCCTGCAGAAGTGTAGTGCTGGTTATTAGCAAGGGAAGCCGCATGAAAGAGCCATTTATAATTTCTCATCCTGTTCACAAAGAAATGCCAAAACACGATCGGAAATGCCTACCATGGAGATGCGCATCACAAGTGTTCCTGTCAACATTGCGCAGTTGCATGACAACTCTGGGGTGGATTGGACGTTTTTCCACCGGAGAAGTCGCACCCTTTCCCGATATGTACCGGTTCGTAGACCCGCAGACCGATTGGTTCCAGCCGGCGCAAAGTTTTCGGTTCGTTCCCCAAACGAACGAGAACGGTAGGCTGGCCTACGCCGTCCTCCGCGAAGGAGAGCCGAATGGAAACGGCCACTTTGCGGACGAGCTGCATTTCCGGGGAGAGACGGGCGTGGGAGCGAGTGTCTTCACATTTCCAACAGGCGTCAAATACCACCTGCAACAAGGCGAGAACTGGAGAGGCATGGTAGACCGAGCCGGTGACAACAAGGGTATTGTGTGCGTTGACGTCGTGGTCTGCATGGCGATTCCATTTTCCAACGGCTTCCCCGAGTGCCACGTAGGCTACCACTTTAATAGTCTTCCCTCGCTGCAGAACACGTGCGAACCAAATGTCTGCCACTGCAACAACGGACAAGGAGCGGAAGGCACGGCCTGCGTGCCCCACGGGGCTCACGTTTGCACAAGTTGCAAGAACGACAACTACGCACTGGACGATACGACCAAGAAGTGTGTGAAGCAATGTACCTGCGACAACGGAACCGTGGCGGGGGCAGACGCTTGCGAAGCCGCAGGCGATAACACTTTCCAAGTCTGCTCTGCATGCAACGCGGGCTACCATTTAAACGTCATTACGAACCTGTGCGACGAGAACCAGTGTACGTGTCGCAACCCAAATTTCTCCGGGACAACCAACACCGCCTGCCCGGTACACGATACAGAGGTGTGCGAGAGCTGCTTGACTGAGTGTGGAGGTAATTATGGACAGTGTGACTTATGCAACGCTGCTCGGCCCCTGAACTCAAACTGGGACATGGCCTGTTGCGCGAATAGTGGATCTGGTGGAACCGCTACAGGAGACGACGATAACCACTGTGCCCGCGTTATCGAATTCCCAGTGGCGGATAATTATGACTTTCAAAACTCCGGCGGAGGTACAGATGATCTCCCGCCAGAGTGCGTGCCGACTTATTTCAAACTGACCGGGCAAACGATGTATCCTGTGCAAAAGTATCGTACTCGTACAAATGCAAGTCTTGCATTACAAATCTTGTTTCCAAGGCAAATCTGCATTACAAATTTCATTTCTCATGCTGAGAAAATTTGTAATGCATGAATACGAGTGCGATACTTTTGCACAGGATACGATGTCGCCGCCAGCCGGCAGTGCTCCAGTCCCGCTCACTTTGGAGCTTTCCCCCCTCCACAACGAACGCGCATGGGTTTCCGAGGGGCATCTTGGGTGTTGGCGCAGTTGTCGTGATCGGGCGGGGTATTGCGACTCTTGCCAGGTCACCGCGGGGCCGGACTTTTCCTCCTACGAAGGAGCCTGCTGTGAATACAGCCAAGACGAAATAACCGGGCAGCTTCAACCCGCTGTACTAGATAGCGACAACCAAATTCGGCGGGAGTGCAACATTCTACCTGCGATCAACTGGTCCGAAGTCGGAAAGAAGTTCGTCGCCTTCTCCGGGTATCCGGCCTGTGTGGCGGTTCCAAACTGGGTACGGACCCCGTCTTGTCTAGCAGAGGAGCTCTGCGGTGCCGACGGGGAGGGGAAGTTGTGCAACAACTGTATGAGTTTTTTTATCGCTGAAGCAGGTGGAAACCAAAATGCTGTTTTTGGCAAGTCCGCCGCCTGTTGCTCGAGAGCAAATACCGCTGCCTATAATAATGGCATAGAAGACCACAACGTCTGTGCCAATGCGGGTTCTTACCCGATTGCCGACAGGGTCGCGGACAGTTCCTTCTGGCAGCCGGAGTGTGTTCTCATGGATCTTGTGTGTGTAGACCCAGGAACACACCCGAGCGGCGGACAATGCGTCCCGAATGAATGCACCTGTCCCACTGGCGGAAAGGGCGCCACGGGCGCGGCCTGTCCTGTTCACGGACAGGAACTTTGTGACACGTGCAACGACGGGTACCATATGAAACCTGGTTCGACCTCCTGCGATGAGAATGTCTGCAGTTGCGACAACGGGATTGGGGCGACGGGAGTGGAGTGTGTAACCCCGGGGCCATTCTGCACGAGTTGTAATCCCGGGTATCACAAAAATGTAAACAACTTCTGCGTGATCAACGTGTGTTATCCTGTGCAAAAATATCGTACTCGTATTGCAATCATGCATCACAAATATTTTTTTAAAAGTGAATCCGCATTGCAAATTTCCTTTCTCATCATGCTGGGGAACTACTTTGTAATGCATTTATACGAGTACGATACTTTTGCAGTTCATATGTGTACCTGCACCAACGGAAGCGGTGCGCACGGGCTGCCGGACTGCATTGCCCACGGGGCGGAGCAGTGCGCGGTATGTGAAAACGAGGGGTTTCACCTCCTGACTAGGGAAATGAGCAGAGAGGACTTTATCGCTGCCGCCGCAGGGCCGAACTCTGCTGACAGCGATAATTCTGCTTCGGATTTATTTTACCGGAGAACCTGCGAACAAAACCTCTGTTACTGCACTAACGGCACCGCAGCGGAAGGAGCTAACTGCACACAAAACAACACGGAAATCTGCACTGATTGCGACGACCCGGGATACTTTCTGAACACCACGACAACCGCGAACGGAACGATAACTATGACCAGCTGTGATTTAAAAGAGTGCACCTGTGGAAATGGTGGTGTCGCGGCCAGTGGAATCTCCTGCCCGGTGAATGGTATGGACAAGTGTGAGTCTTGCACGGAGGCAGAGGGATACCACATGGAAAATGTTACGGTAATAGTTGCGGTTGGCGCTGCCAACGATACAGATATTGAAAATAACGCGGAAGTAGACGTAGCGCAACCTGAAGACGGCAATCTTCACATCGATTTGGCCAGCAATTCGCTTGAAGCCGATGTAGCTGAACTTGAACAGCAAGAAGCCGGTTTATCGTCCAATGAAACGACGACCGAAAGCCTGCAAAACTCATCCTCAAACGCAGCTACAGAGAGGACCTTTGTAAGCCAAATCTGTGTCCTCAACCAGTGTCTTTGCGCTGGGGGGACCGCCGCGACCGGTACGGATTGTGCCGAGAATGGGACGGAAGTTTGTGTTGCGTGTGACGAGGAGAAAGGATTTGGCTTCGATAAGGAGAACGACGTAAACAGTCCTCGCATATGCGTACTAACATCAACAACCTCAACCACATCCAGCACTTCTCAAAAAGAACACATCATCGAGGACGAAACCACGACGACAACCCAGCCCCCAGCTACCACCGAAGAGCCCAAAAATAATGTGACCGTTGCCCCGGCGGAGACCGATGAAAATGCCGCCGAAAAGGAGGACACGTCCGGCTGCTGCCTACTTCTAGTTTTCTTAATACTCGCTCTGATAATCGCGATCGGGATAGCGGTGTATTTTTTGTTTTTCGCGGATAGTGCAACAGAAGAAAACGACAGTGAGGAGGAAAGGAGGAGAAATAGAAACAAGCGCAGCCGGGATAAAAAGAAGAACAATAGAGACGATGATAGTACAACTACAGATACCATTCTCACGTTTGGTGTCATTGAGAGAGCCTTTTTGAACGCCGGATTCGCGGGGCAATACGCTACGGATTTGGCAAAGCAGGTGGTGTTTGACGAAAGATGTGAGGATGATGAAGAAGTTCTAAAGCCTGAAACGTCGAGTAATGATGCGCAAATCTTAAGCCGCGTGAAAAGCCTACTACCTTCCTCGTCGGTGGATACTACGAACGAAAGGAAGTCTTCATCCTCGTCGTCATTGCGTGTCGGAAAACTCCGACGCTTCTTACGCGGCTTACTGAGAGCCCAAAAGCCCAAGTGGAGGGCTGAGCAATTGGCGCTGCCTTCAAGAAAGTCATCCTTCGAAGACCACAGTAAAATGGACAGCAATGCCAGCTTGGATCTTGAAAACGCAACTAAAGGGGGAGTCACTCTACTTACCAAGAAGCAAGCAAGACGCGTAGTGCATCAAAACCTCGGATACTCAGACGAATTCGCGGCGTACGCCGCTGGGAAACTGGCTAAAACCGCGGAAAGGGCGGAGATGTATCAATTGGCCCAATTAGTGGATACAGGTGAGGAATTGCAAAAATGGCATTGGGAGGACTACGTCGACAGCAAAAGCAAAGACAACGAAGACGAAAGCTTGATGCGAGCCTTTGCGAAAGCTGTGGCGGAAATGGAAGAGAACAGGAAGAGCAGAATGTTGAAAAGTAGGAACAACAAACAGAAAGACCACAAAAATGCACGGCCGCAGGTCTCTATTCATCCAGAGTTCGACTTCGATATAGCCGACTTTACTGTCGACGACGCGAGGTTTCGTTTAGAATCCAACATCGGCTTGAGCGAGAAAATGGCGGCGTTTTTGGCTCCGAAGCTGGTGAAAAAGGCCCGGGAAGTTGTGTATGAGGGGGCATATGTGATAGTCGGGGGAAGCAAAGACGGCGGATCTGGTACTGGCAGCAACGGGTCGTCTGGAAGTAACGCAGCTGCTTCGACGATGAATCGGTTACCGAGGTTTGCGAAACTTGCGTTTCGTTCCTCAACATCCAAACAAGACCACTCAGCTGATTGGGAAAACTGGGAAAAACACTGTGAAAAAGCCGATAGGAAGCTTATGAAAGACGCGATAGAGAAAAGGAAAAAATCAAGCAAAGACGAGCATCAAGAAGTCTCCAGTTCTGATTCAGACAGTAAAAGAAAGAACGCCGACGACAGTCACAGTGAAAAAGCTTCTCTGCTGAAAGAGTTTTTCACTAGTGTTTACTTCCGTCACCGCAAGGAGCAGCAGAGGAAGAACAAGCATCTTACAGGTTTCGCTCTCGACCTTTTCGGAGAGAGCACTCGCAGTGGCGACGGAGATACAACTTCTAAGACGAGTGCGGTTGTTGTGCACAGTAAGGATCTTCATCATGTCAAGCATCAAGGCAGTAAGGATAAAAAAGACGACGTGCGTGATAAGGATCATGGCCACGACCATGATCATAATTCCGACCGGAAGTCAAAAGTTGTGGTCATCAAAAGGAAAAGTAGCGACGATTACGTCGTCGATCCTGGGAAGTCGAAATTGACTAAAAAAAGCGGCGACCATGCTACTTCCGACGAAGAGGCAAACAAGTCGAGAAAGGACAACAGAAAGTCGAAAAGTAGGACAACGAAAAGCAATATTAGCGACTTTTCCTCTTTCGGAACGAATACAAGCTCCGTCGCGTCCACAAACACTGCAGACAGTCACGACTCTTCTGACAGAACCAAGGGAAAAAAGAAGAAAGACAAAGACAAGAAACCCGGCGTCAAAAGAAGCTTTTTGAAATCGAAAATCCAAGCCACCGGAGCGATTGTCGGTGTGGGGGCTAGTGCAGCTGCCTCATCTACTTCTGCTCGGGGAACGAAAATTAAGAAATCTGACATATCGCGGGACAGCGATAATAGTAAGAACACAGCGGATGGAGATACAACAGATAACGACGACAATCAGGACATCACGGTGAAAGTGCGAGACGGTACCTCCCTGGCGAACGCGTCCTTTGGGACGAAAAAGAAGAAAAAGAAGTCGAACAATCCGATTCTGAGTTTTAGTGGCAGTCTATGAAAGTGCACAACTCCCCCCTTTCCCTCATTTGTCATGCAAAATTCCAATTCCACCCTTTGCCTGTTAGCACTGTTTGCATGACAGACTCCGAAATCCAAAACAGCACTACAATGCTCTAGAAATTTTTCATGCAAAAGCTGCATCTCTGGCAGCGCTTGTGTTGCTGTCCATGCAACACAAATGAGGGGGAGGGGGATTTGTGCACTCTCATACAGTCCACCTGGTGGAAATACGCCTGATCATACCGATCAGGAAAAACAAGGTGCCGATTCGGATAAAAGTAACTCCGCTCAAGGACCTCCACAGGACGAAGTGACCCTGCAGTTTCGCGCCGAGTTGGCTTTGGTCGATATTGGATTCGGTCCGGCGCAGGCGAAAGCTCTTGCGCACCGGTTGGCGGCCATGGAGGACAAGGATGATGAAAATCAAAATGCAAGCCTCACTACCGAAGAGAAAAATATTGCATCCAAATATGGAAAGAAAAAAGTTTGTCACAGTCACTAACTTGCAGGTTTTGCATTACAAATTTTTTTAGCATCACAAGTTTTCCTTGTATTGCAGAAACACTAGGGAAATCCCCTATGAAGCTTGGCTGTCATGCATTTTTACGCATGACAGCCAGTTTTGTATTGCAAAAATGCGCATGAGTGATCGTGACGAACTTTTTTTGTTTGATACCAAAGGGCTCCACGTGAATACCAAGATCCAGGACTTTCACCAGTTGGCAAACGAGCTCGTTATGAAATGTAAAAATGTCTGGGTCTGGAAGATTGCAACTTGTCATGCTGTTTTTGGACTCTAAAAAAATTTGTATTGCATGACCAGCAAGAGGAGTGCAATTTGTGCCATACGGACAGAACATTTCTCATGCGGCATACGTATCAGGAAGCTCAATCAAAAACTGTGATGCTAGGTCATGCATTACAGGCATCAGGGATCATGCAATATATGCATCACAAATCTCTTTCTCTCACTCTTCCAGACCCAGACATTTTTACATTTGATACTCGTGGCGAAAAAGCAATTCTTTTTCGAGCGGCCGCTCACACCGGGCGAGAAAGCGGAGATTGAGAAGCGACGGAAACAACCTGGCCACAGCGGCACACTGGACGCTGACCCGACGCATAGTCGGAAGAGCCGGAAGCCACACCAGCTGCCCACAGACGCGGGGGTTATTCTGCCGCTGTCCATGTTGGGAAAATCGGTGAAGAATAAGGGGAGATTGCTGAAAAAAAGGACACTGAGCAAAAAGAACTCGCCCAGTAATATTGGCATGATCATCAAAGGGGCGGAAGGCGAGGAGGGTGGGCCTGCTGGTGATCGTGGTGATCCACCCAGTAGTCCGTGATCAACATATTTAGACATCATGAATTCGAGATTTACAGCTGTAAATCTTTCAGGTTATCGGTGCGAAGATGGTGCTGTTGCTGATGTAGAAGTTTTAGTTTACTGCTCATCAGAAATCTCATTTTTGTGTGGAGGTCCCTGATGAACGCATCTGCTCAAAATGCTCTCTAGACGCAAGATAATTTTTTTTCGCTGGATTTGATAAGATTTGATCGCTTTTGACAGGAGAACTAGTAAAGTGCACAACATAAAGTCGTTGAGGACGACCCAGAGCAGCCGCACTGGCGGTTTGCGCAAGGATGCGCACGAGCAACGTGCGTCCCTGCTGCGTGGGGTCATTCCGTGCCGCGCACCTGCTCGCTGCCTGATTTGATGTTTCATCCAAGCGGCAGATCATGTGGCGCGGTACAGTGGAGAGTGTAGTTGTCCTTCTTCTTTGACAAGATCTCGTCCACAGCAAGAGCATGCAATTGCAGTTCAACCAAGAAGTTGCTCAAGCTCACGGAACTTTATTTATATTTTTGCTTAGTTGCCTCTCGGTTTTCAACATCGTGCTTCGGAAGGGGAAAGAACCAGAACGACCAGTAGTGCCTTCGTTCATTCTCGTCTTATATAAATTCTACTATCGCCCTCGTCGTACGAAATTCGTTTGTCGTGCTGTCGTAGTTAAGTTTTCGTTTTTTTTTTTTTGCGCAACCGTGCAAACAACATCGGTCTGAATTTCAAAAAAATGTCGGTTTAAATTCATCAGTTTGAAAAACTCGTTGCCTTGTTCGTTGTCTTTCTTGTGGTAAGCGTATCGTTTTCGTTTAGACGTTCCTAGAATCAGTCCGTGGTTACTTCGTCTAAAGTTTATCCTTCGGTGACAGGAAGGAAAAGAACGCATGGACACATTCTTCTGTAGAAATGATTAAAAACCCGACGCGCAACCTCCCTTTATTCCCGCTCCCACAACACGCAAGAACAGGTCGACAGCGCGAAGCTGAAAGCCCCTTTATTTCTTCCGCTTATTTCCCCAACGACATCGTGTTGCTGTTGTGCAAGAAGTATAGTTGTTGTATCCCAACTTTTTACTCTTTAAACAACACTCTCTACACGACGACGTAAGGGCCTAGATACTCATTCACAGCAGCCGTCAGCATGGACGCGGCCACGGTGAGGAGCCGGATCATGCGCCAAGAACGGACGTCTCAGCATCATCACATTGTTCCCACACGCCGACGTGGCCTTCCCTTCTTGCCTGTCGCGTGTACTACTGGTCTCTTTTACCTCCACCAAGGAACAAGTTCTGACGGGATCATCTCCTCCGTCGCCGGTTATTCGATCATCGCTTTGCGGGCGCAAGAGAAGAATAAACGGAGGACGAATAGCATTTCGAGTGCGGGGGCGCCCACCACGTCGATTCATCTTGCTTCACCCAAGATGAACCGCCAGCGCGGCATTGAAGATTTAGTAGTCAAGCCTCCCAACTACATCGCATCTATTTCAGAATCAAACGGAGGTACACGTACAACTACACCACGAGCTGCGCTTTTGCAAGAGCGACAAGAGCATGGCGAAAAGTCAACCTCTCGAGAAAAGGTCGAGCTTTCCATCGCAGAACTGGCCATGTCCTGTTGCGACGAGGAGGACAAGCATGAGAACAACAAGCAGGAACATCAAGAACAACTGCCGGAAGGAGCTTATTTTGGCGAGGATGTGGAACGTGGCAGAAACGACAAGCATGAACAAGATCTAGGAACTTCTACAGGTACCACGAAGAATGTTCTTGACGGAGCTGGAGCAGACGAGGTAGCTCGAACCGCTCCCCCCGTTGTAGCAGGAGGACAACTCCCCCAACCGCCCTCGCCCGGCGAGGGCGTCGTGCTAGCCGGAACGGCCGGCGGTAGGAGCAGCGAGGAGCACTTCATGCACAGTTCAGCATCCGCATCTTCTTCGACTACGAGCGATGACCTTGCCGAGTACACTGAAATTGGCAAGGGGTGGTGCTCCCATACGGATTGGGCGCCGACCGGCTTTCGCGGCGAGATTTTCATTCATCAAACGCCCGACCCGGAGGCGGGGAAAAACCTGTGTTCCCGGTCGCCCAATTGTCCGGGTTATCAACGCTCGTGCTGTGAATACCATGACGACCACCCCGACCCCAGGGAGCCGCTCTACAATTTCCTCGTGCACCAAATGCAGGGTTTTACCCCCGTGCTTCCCAACAGTGTGCACATTCCGTCGTGCAGCGCAAACGATCCGCTCGTCCAGGAGATGGGGGCACAACAATGCAACGTTCGTAAAGGTTGGGGGGCATACGACTGCATGAAGAAAACGAAAGGCTTTGTCCCCATGGGGCAGTGCACCGGCACTACGCTGAAGGCGAGTAGCAAGAACTGCGTCCCTCGAGGTGATGGGCCACAAGGATCGGGCAGGACGGAGACCGTATCCGGCCATGTCACCTACGCCCAGTGCCTGGAGGGGTGCAATTGGCGGGGGTGGTGCACTCACTTCTCTCTGCACCGCAACGCAGGAGCGCTGCAACAATGCACGCTGTATGATGATGCGGCGTGTGATTCGACGGAACCAAACGCAAACTCGGACTGCGCGACTATTTCTGCGGGAGAGCTTCCGCCGAACCAGGGGAGCGAGGTGGTCAAAGAGGGCTGCAAACTGATCTACCAGTGCACCAGTCCCGTCGAGCACTTGTACGAGAATCTTGGCCCCCGAGGTTGCTCTTGCGGGGGTGAAGGAAAGTCGTGCAGCGCAACGATGACCACATTGCCTGTCACACAAGAGAATGCGGTCTGCACAGACCAGACGTGCGAGGCACAGTGCAACATGGTTTGGAATTGCCAGGCCGTGATCCAGTCAACCGACGACTCGTGCAAGTGCCTGCTTTTCCTGAGCAAAGACGCATCTCCGGACGCGCGGCCGGACGGAGGCGCCTTTTTTTTTAAAGAGACAGATTCCGTCTGGGACAACACGTGTTGGCGCAAGCCTTCCGTGGCGGAAATCGTGGAGGAAATTGCGACCGAGCCGCCCCCGACGGAACTACCGTCAACGACAACTACTACCACCACCACGTATCCTGTGCAAAAGTATCGTACTCGTAGTAATCGCAGTCATGCATTAGATGTTGTGCAACAACCTGACCCCTTTCCGCCCGCGGAAAGGGGGGTAGACGCCCCTCCAGGCGGGTGGCACCCCCTCCCTCCCCCCCCTTTCCGCAATCGTCATCGGCATAAAAAAAAATCGCGCGCGCGCGCTGCGCGCGCGCACGGTATTACCGATCCCGCCATAAGAAGACACCTCTTGAATTGTTTGCATGCGCGGCGGGCGTCCGGCTCTTGCCATGTTTTCCATTAAGCGACAAGCGGCCCGGGGCCGGGCGGCGGCGCGTTTTCCCGCGACTACACGCAGCGCGACCACGGCTTTCTTTGGGGCTCGCCCTGCCTGTGGCCAACCAATGCGCGCAGCACAGACATCGCCTAACGGCGTGGCGGGCACGCTGGTGCGTGGTTGCGTGTGTGAAGGGGGGAAGGCGCTGCAAACAGGCCGGCCCCGTTGCTTCCCATCCCTTCCTCCTGGGCAGGCGCAGGCGCCAGGCAAAGTCACGGGCTGCAGAGGAAAGCCCCCTGCCTGCGAACGCCAGCTAGCTCGTGGCGCCGGAGCCCCACTCTGTTATTTTAACTTTGCTCCGCATGAGGCGCCACGCATGCAAACCAAATCACACCAAGCCACCCGCGGGCGCCCCTAGATAATGCCGGCCAAGGGGGGACACGGACGCACAACCCCGCTCCCTGACCTGCCTCAGCCACTACATGGCCGGCGGGGGCAGCGCCCGCCCGCGCGGCGCCACCTGCCCCCATGCAGCCAGCGTTTGGCAGAAGAAACGGGCCCCGCCCGCTACCTGATAGTTTTTTGCGCCGGCGATAGCGAAAGCGCGCGCCGCCTAGTCATGTGGGGCCGGCGAGGGAGGAGGGCGCCCCGCCGTGCCCCGACGCCGTCGCCGCGCGGCGGAGCCAAACCATGCACAGGATTCATTGACTGCGGGAGCAGAGGCTGCGAGCTTGGCCAATGGAGCGCTGCCGGGCGTTCGGTGCGGGAATGGGGCGCGCACACGGGCGGGGGGGGGGAAGAACGCGCCGCGGGCGGAAGCCTGCGCCAGGCAGGCATGTGGCCAGGCGGCCCGCGCCTTTGCCTTTGGGCAGTTTGCAGGCCCCATTGGCCAGGGCTGTTCTTTGGGGGGCGGGCGCGCTTTTTTTTTTTCGGCGCCGCCCTTCTCCACCCTTGCTTGGGTCGGCGTGGCGGCGCGGCGCGGCACAAAAAAGGTCGTGGACCGGCGCCGCGCTGCCGGCTTGCAACGCTCGCACCCACATGCGGCCGGCGCCGAGCCGGCAGGGGCCCTGCCCCAGTCCCCGCTCGGGCGCGAAAAAATAGCACCCCCCCCCCCACAACGCTGCGCCCGGTGGACTCCTTAGTGGTTTTGGGCGGGCGCGTCGAAGGCTGCGCGCGCAAGAGGTATTCTGGGGGGTGGTGTTTTGATTCCAGCGTGCTTCATAAGCTGCGGGGGGTGGGGGCCTGTGTTTAGGGGCCGGCCCATCTTAAGGGCGGGAAAAAGGGCGAAGAATGCGCGCCGGGCAAGCGCGGCTTGGGCGTGGCTCTCGTTCTTGGCATGCAGTTGCCGGCCGCCGCGGCAGCGGGGCCCGGTCGCTTGCAGTCTTGCGCGCGCTTGCGGCGTCTAGGTTCTTAGGTTTTTTGGCCGTATCTGGTCGCGGCGGGCGCATGTGCATGCGCGCTTTTCGGCCTTGGCTCTGCCTTGCAATTCACGCATGAAACTAGCGCGCGCGAAGCGCGCGCCGCCAAAAAAAATGCACTCGCGCCGATACATAGACCGCGTGCGCGGTGCTATGCCCTTCGTTTGCGCGCGCCCCCCCCCCCGGCCGTCTGACTGGAATGCGTGCGAGCGTGCCGGCCCCGGCCGCTTGGCTTTCGGGTCTCCTGGCCGGAAGGTGGGTGGGGCCCCCCCCCCCCCTTTCCGCGGGCGGAAAGGGGTCAGGTTGTTGCACAGCATCTTACAAATCTCCATCCCAAGGCAAAAAAGCATGATTAACTCCCTTTGTTATGCTGAGCTAATTTGTATTGCAATTTACTACTAGTACGATACTTTTGCAGTTCATACCACCACGACAACTACTACCACCACTGCCAGCAGTGCCAATGTTGTCACCAATCCCAATGCAACTTCCACCGAAGCGCCGACAACCGCAACTGTAGTTGCCAATGCAACCACTTCCACCGAAGAGCCGACAACCACAACTGCAGTTGCCAATGCAACCACTTCCACCGCTTCGCCGCCCGGAGGTGGCCCGCTGCCTCCACTTACCGTAGATGATTTAGCGGACATTGTGGACGAAGTGGGGGACGACCCAGACGACGTTTTTACCGCCGTTCTTCCCGAACTGGTAAACCGGGGCGCTGACCCCGAGGAGGCCAAAAATGCGGCCTTGAAAATTGCCATGGCCGTTGCTAACAACGAGGATGTGGAAGTGGCGCTGCAAGAGGCTGTGGATTTGTTGGAACAAGCGATCGATGAAGACGATCCGAGTGGTTGCTGCTGCTGCGTGATCATTTTTCTGGTTTTCCTTCTTCTCGCCGCGGTTGCAGGAGGGGTGTTGTACTACGTATTTTTCCTCTCACCTCCGCGACAACTCTCTTCTCTGGCGCCTAACCAGCGGGACATCAACCCGGATGTGCTGGAAGCCGGCTCCTTCGAACCAAGGTTTTCCTTCGATGTCGTGGAGAAAGCCTTCCTGGGGGCCGGTATGACACCGGCGTATGCCAATGCCTTAGCGAAGCATATGGATGTGTCAGAGTTGAAATCGACAAAGTTGAAATAATTTGCCATGCATAAAATGGATGGCAGTTGGAACCCAGTTTTCAAGTGGCGCAAGACAAATTCCGGCGGTCCCTAAATCCACTTTGTCATTCTGTTTAGGTAGAGAAGATCGATTTTCTCATGTTACTTCAGCAGCTCGAGCTGTAACCTCAAACAGGCTTACAATCGGCCTCACTTGCCTGCTCTGCAACGCACGTGCCTCGGGTCATGCATTTTATGCATTACAAATTATTTCAACTTTGATGATTTCAAATCTGACGCTTCCATAAAGCAAGTCGTGAATTTAGAGCACGTTGAGGACGATGATGAGATGCTCCCGCCGCAGACGGATATCAAATGCAAAAGTTAAAGTGTCTGGGTCTGGAAACTTGTAATGCTGCGTCGGGAAAAGTGAATGCTCTGTAATGCACAGCCAAGCATGAGAAATATCTGCGCTTCTTTGTGTTGCGTGTTTCGCATGACAAAATGCGTTTTTGCATGACAGGCAAAAGGGTCTCTTCTGTGACACGCATCACAAACTTTTTGGTCATGCCAGATCAGCATGACAAATCTCGCAATCTTCCAGACCCAGACATTTTTACAGTTGATAACGGAACACGACATGCAAATCATGAGACGGCTAGGCCTCGACTTTTCGACTACCGAGCCCGAGCGGGTGGGCCGGATGCGGTACTTCCTGGAAGCCGTGGCGCGGAAGGAGCACGCGAAGCACAAAGAATCTGCCGCGGAGAAGGAACAATTAATAAAGGTCGAGAACCTAACCGTCGACGAGGCGACACTCCGGCTGGAGACGGCGGGCTTCTCTGAAAAAGCCGCGAACTTCATTGCCGCGAAGCTCGTGATGACAGTCCACGATGAAGACGACGCAACCGCGGATGCAGCCATGCAGCACCTTCTGCGCAGCCTGCAGGCAAACCAAGAGTGGCTAGATCACGCAGACGAGGCCGACCGGGCGCAGCTAAACCAATTCGCCGACGGGGAGGCCTTGTTTTACACCAATTTTCGGAAAGCCAACGCAAAACCGAAAAAATCCCGGCGCTCGACCATGGTGCTCGACCTGCACGCAGTAGCGACGGACGTGGGCGACTCCATGCCCGAATTCGGCCAGAAGGAGACCTATGCTCTGCAAAAGTATAAGATCGCACTGCTAGTTCTTGCCTAGTTCTTGTACTACCGCAACACTGGTGTGTGGTAAGGCCTGTTTCATCCTCGGTAGCTGCGCCAGCATTACAAATTTCATTTTCGTTCTGTATGCGATGAAGCAAATTACTTGAATTTGCAATGCATTTACAACTGCTTTAAGGGAATGCGATGAAAATTTTGCATTGCATAAGATTCTAGGCATGGTCGATGGGTTTGCGCGTCTGATGCCCCCGAAAAAGCGGTACGAGCACAAGCTGAACAAAACAAGCCGTGTCTCCGACATCACGAACAATCTTGGCTCGGGACAGTTTGGCCAGCAGCCCGGCAGCAATGCATCTTCTCCCGGTGGCGTTAGTGACACTTCTTCCGAAGACGACGTCGCGGCGACAGGCAGTGGCGAAAATGATGGGTCCGACGCCTCATCACAACAAAGCGACAGTGAGAATGATCTGGGCTACGCACAAAGCGCGGAATTCGGCTCGCTCGAAAATGCGAAAAAAAAGAAACACAACTTACATGCGAAGAAAAAGAAAATCATTGGTGCCAACGCAGACAAGAAAGCTGGCGGCGCTCCAAAAAAGAAGAAAACTACTGCGAAAGGGAAGAAAGCGGGGGCGCCGTCCGCAGAAACCTCTTCCGGTCAGGAAGAGGATGAGGAGGGAAAAAATGCTGACGGCGCATCAGTTTCTTCGGAGGCTGATGGCACAGGTGGAACCAACACCGACATGACCTCTGGCGACAGCGACATTAGCGAGGAACAACCGCATAAGAAAAAGGTGGTCAAGAAAAAGCTGGTCAAGAAAAAAGACAAGCAACCCGGCGCTCCTGGCGCAGTAGTTTCGACCCCGTCAACAGCCGCTGCTGCGGATCATGAATTAGACGCTATCAAGCAAGCCGAGGAAACGCTTTTGCAGGAGGCGAAAGCGGCTCTGGTAGACGTGGGGTTCACGAAGTCGCAGACGGCGCAAATTGCCATGCGTATCGCCGGAGTCAAAGCGGAGGAGCTGCAATCGCAAAGCATGACGCTCACCGAGGAGGAAAGAGCGATCGCGGCGAAGGGCTTGGGCGGCGCGAGGATTGTTGATTTAACCGATCTCGTGGACGAGTTGGTGGCGCAAAAAGCCTCGTTTTTCGCAAAAACGCTATCGCCCGCCAGCACCCTGCAGTCGACGCGGATGAGCGCGGGAGGACAAGCTGTACCAATGTCGATGCTCGCCGGGCGGTGCATGACGGGGCAGCCCCTATCCACGCTGGCAAGCCGAGCGTCGGCAGTGCTCGCGCAACAGGGAGGTGCGGGCTCACCCTATAGAGATACTGTTGATGCAGCGCAGAAGAAGGAAAAGGCGAACGCGAAGGCAGGGACCCGGCACAAGAAGTCGAAGGCAAATGTTAAACATGATCAGAAATAAAGCTGCTCTTTTTCGCTTATACATTTTCATACTTTTACATTTAGTCAGGTTCAAAAATAGTCTATTTAAGTTCGCTGTTAATAGGTACGTTACTGGAAGATCCTGTATAGCTAAAAGTACTATTTTTTCAAGTTTTTGTGGTAGTTTTCTCCGTTTTTATTCCAACAATAATTTATTTTTCTTTTTCCTTAGGGAAGTAGCAGAGCTTATTCTTAGAATGAAGAACTTAGTTAATTTTAACATTTTCCGAAAAACAATAGATATTTTACTGTCCCGCCACAGCGAAAACAAGTGGCTCGATTCCGTCTCCTTCCGCCGTATCCTTCTTTCTTTCTGTATGCAAGTATTGGATTATAAATTCCAGTATTTGATTTCAGAATAACTATCTCCGGTTGCATCCATTCCTCGAACCCCTGCTGTTTGTATTGCCCTTTCTTTTTTCTATGCTATGTAGTAAGTTTTCGTTCTCAGCAAGAATTTCATTTTCAACAAGCGTAAGACAGGCTCAAAAAGCACTGCAGCGTAAGAAAGGACCAAGAGGCGGACAACAGCAAAAAGCTCAAAAAAAGAAAAAACAAAAACAAAAACTTCCTTTTCGACTACGTACAGCAAGACTTTCACTTCAAGTTTTCTCTTCACAAAAACAGTTTTTCGCAGCGACCGACTAGTTTTAGCTTCTTTTCAACAACCTTTTTAGTACTTTTTCAGAAACAACAGCTCCGACGTTGAGGCAGCTTTTACTTTTACAACAAGCAAGTAACCTTTGGACTTTCAAAAAAAAAAACTTCAACCTTTCTCTTTACCTCTTTTACAGTTTTGCTTATGCAGCCTTAAGCTCTCGCTTCTAGCGACAGTTCCTTTTTCTAAGGCAGAGGCCAAAGCAGCTCTGCCAAGTTGTCCTTTTTCTTGAAATAGCGCTAACCATGTGAGAGGAAGCACAAATTTCCAAACGGTTCCACATGACCTTCATCAACAAACAAACAAACATGTTCCACTTGGGCTTTTGCATGCCAGCATAAAGGGGGTCCACATTCAAAATGACTCTGTTGTCATTTTGAATTTGGACACTTGGAATGCTTGCATTGCATACGCTTCTTTAACTGGGTGAGGTCCTACAAAGTCTACAATTTTATGTCATCATCCAATGGCTTTTTTGAATATAAACTTCTGATGGCTTCTGCTTTGTTTCTTTGTTTTGCTGTTCGTTGCTCGTTTGCTCATTCTGCCATGCGGCATGCCTCGTATGATATCACCCGCAAATCTCGGTCCAAAATTCGGTTTTCAATCTGTATTGCTCGTAGTGCTCCTTGTTATCATTCCCGCATTTCGGTTCTTTCTTTCATGCCTAGCTTCCATGAGAGTGCTTTTCGTTCATATCTTTATCCCTTAGTCTCGATTGTCGTATTATTTGATATGCCTATCGTTTTCTGTCTCGGTTTTTTATTTCTACGCATTACACTTTTGGATCTACACATACACATCGATCTCGTCTGGCTTCGGTTTTTTGTTCATCTCGAGTTTCTCATGATCAGCATCGTTCTCTACGTTATTAACGCTCTACTAGTTCTCTGTTTCGATCTATTTACATTATTTTTAGGCTCGCTCGTTACATGCATGGACGTTTGTGCCCGTTTTATCGTGTTTCGCATAGATCTTGTATTTCTTATAGTATCGTCAATCTGTCTCGACTTGGCTGTTTTCGTTTCTCGATTCGAAATTTGTATGTCGATCTCGTTTTTTCGACTATCGTGCCCCGAGTGAGCTTTCCCTTGCTTTTTCCTACCTATTCCACATTACCTTTCTTTAAGCACGTTGTTTTCGTGGTTTTATGGTCGGTGAACCGGTACCCCTGTCCGCCATAAATTTCTATGACACGTCAACAAGCGAGCACTCCCATTCACTTTCTTTTCACTCTGCTTCATAGGGCAGATAGATTGTGTTTTGGTGAGACGGCAGGGGCCGAAGTGCTTCCCTCTTTATCGGTCCCGAGTGAGTTTCGGTGCGTGTTTTTGTGTTGCGAGTGAACCTGAGCTGTCCAAATCTCTGTTTCTGTTCTCATGCAAAAAGGCCTTTGCATGCTTCAAAATCATCAATTTTACATTTAGTCAGGTTCAAAAGTACAAGTCTACTGCTCCTCAAGTTTACATATTCCACAGACAGTCATGCCATTTTATTTGTTGTTTGTCCTTTTCCATATCCGTTCGTTGTAGCAGAGCTTGTTTCAGATTTTTGGTTTTAGTCAGCATTCAAGTCGTTCAACACCATCAGCCGCGCAGCAAAATAAATAAAGCCTCATTGTAAAAAGAGGTTTCGACTAGACCGAAATGACCCATGGTACTTAGAGGTCAGCACGTAGGCTAAACGCGTCCGCGGAAGATGAAAAAAAAGGAAAGAGCTTGAACTTCTAGAAAACTACTTTTGCAAGGAATCATATTTAGGGAGAGGGTGAAGTAGAGAGCCCATCCTGAACAAGACCTTTGCCAAGAGCCAATTAGAGATGGCGGAGAAGAAGGACATGTAAGTATTTATTTAGGCATTTGTTTGTCAGAAACAGAAAGTTCTTGTAGACAACCAAGTATGATACCGAGTGGATCTACTTTTGCCGTGGCTGCCGCGGAGCAATTCCGACCTCCAGCATGGGAAGTTCCAACGGGCATGGGAAGTTGCAACGGGCCGCATGGGAAGTTCCAACCGGCATGGGAAGTTCCAACCGCCGGCATTCTTGTCGGTTCTTCTTCATTCAACTTCTATCGTCGTCAACAAAGAAAATCCCGTAATATCGGTTGCAGACCACAGCTCTAACCCCAAATTGTTCGGTTGAACAGTTCTTCGTACAAAGAGGGCGGTCGTGTTTCTGCCCTAGTAAAAATTGTTGCAATAGATACGTCCTCACAGGAGCCCCTGTGGTCGTTCCTGTTGATTCTCGTCAGATCGAGCAAAAAGTTATAACCGTTTAGTTTTCGTACAAATTTCGGCGTAACTTTTTCGTGCAGATTGTATTTCAACTTCTTCTGCTAAGAACTGCCTAGCTGTGCGTGTCGTGGTGTTCGTTCTTTCGTGTATGATATAATGACTGAGCGAGTGCAGAAGCAAACCTCATGTATCTGAATTGAATACACAACCACACTTCTACTTCTCCGTCGTCGTAGTTCGTCGTCAATATCAATATGCATGTACATCATTCATAAAAAATGACTTTTCGTATATACACATCATCAACCAGGAGCAGTGGTAGATAACTGAATGACAAGCCACTACTAGTACCTGTTTTCAACTTCCATCCCTGCCTTCCCCCCAAAACAAGAGAAGCAAGCGTATGGCAGACTGTTCCGATTAGACGATAGAAGAACCAACCGGCTAGAAAATTGCTTTCCCTCGATGTTCTTTTGTTGCTTTACCTCTGGAACTAAAACTTTGTCGAGCAGCACAACTACGTTTCATTCTTTTCGGATTTCTGCTCAACAGAAAATGTCGCTCCGTCGCGTCGTGTCCGACAAGAGCGGTGTGCTTTTTCTGGCTATTTCCCTCCATCCCGTGGCGATCACGCCCTTCGTTTCCGCCCTTTCCTTCTCCACGGTGCGAAACAGGAACAGTGGGAAGATCACGAGCAGAAAGAAGCTGAAACGAGGAAAAATTGTGGCTCGTCAACAAAAACAGCTGCAGCAAGATCAAGAACGGCGGGAAGTGGAGCACGAAGTAGAACTTCTACCTGAGCAGGACAACATGAGCAAAGAGATGCTGATGGTGCATTACTACAATGACACGAACGACGGAGCAGCAGGATCTGCAGCAGCAGCTCCGGGCGGAATAGTACCAATGACCTCAGCGGCGCTCCTGCAGGTGACGGCGAAGGAGGCGTTGAAACCTCCCAACTGGAACGCGTGGCCCCACTGTCCGCGGTGCCAAGCGTACAACTTTGTGCGTCTTGTTCATCCGACCGACGGCACAGGTACTACTTGGTACGACAATCACATCGAGACTGCTGATGTACAGGTATGGCAGGACAGATCCTGGAACCCTAAAGCCGGTGGCGCGGGAGCCACCGCCGCGTGTCCTAACTACAGTAACAAGAATCCCAGCCCGTTCTCACACCACGCGTGCGCGCTGGAGCAGGCGGAGCAAGTAAAGGACCACTGCAATCAATCCGGCTGCTCGGGTTCCATATGCATTGCAAAAATGTCTGGGTCTGGAAGATTGCAACTTGTGATGCTGTCTCTGCATTCTAAAAAAAGTCTGTATTGCATGACCAGCAAGAGGGGTCCAGTTTGTGCTACATGGAGAGGGTATGTCTCATGCGGGATAGGCATCAGAAAGCCCGCTAAAAATCTGTGATGCCAGGTTATGCATTACAGACGTCATATGTCATTGTAAAATCTGCGTGACAAGTCTGACAGTTTACCGGGTACGCGGTTAAAAGTGCGCGAGTTTTTTTTTATGATTGTCTACTGCACTTCGTTGCTATTCACTGCACTTTGCCACCGCTGCACTTCCTTCGTAAGTACCTGCCGCCTCGTAAATGGAGCTAGATCGCAAATTCGTGCGCTCCTCATTCTGAAAAACCCGATCTTCCCTGCCTTCCCCTCGTGCCCACGTAGATGTAGGTCTCTACCCTTTTACTTCCTCCGTGTCGTGTAGTTTTGTCTTGTTTCTTGACTCATTCTTGTAGCGCTAGATCGCGGAGCCCGCTTCCTCGCAGGGGCAGCTGTTTTTTTTCCGTCTTGCCAGCGGACCTGTGGAGGGGTTGGGGTTGCAGCTGCGGCTGCTTGCGTGTAGATTTTTTGTGGGTCGAGTACGTTGTGGGCAAGGGCGTTTATTTTGGCATGTGGGCGTTCCTGATATTGCCGCTCGGGCTTATCCGTATCGCTAGACGTACCTCTAGCCTTTTATTGGTCTTAAAAAAGTAATCAGGCCCTCTTTGCGATCTCCGGTGGAGAAATATAGCACGCAATTCCTAAGTTAGTCCCTGGCCCGGTCTGCCAATCCGGGTAAGAGAAGCATCGTCGTGCTTCTCTACTAAATCGCTTACTGGTGCCTGCCCGCTCGGGGAATAATTATGTAGACGGTCACCGCTTGTGGTGGTCAGACAGAGGCGTTCGAGTCTAGTTAGTCCTTAGCTGCGCGCTACTCTTTCAGTTCGTGCGGGCTCGAGGTGCTGCGATCACCGGCAGGAGCTGAACAACAGCGAACATAAGGACGTTAGATTTTTGATTGCTCTACATTACAAGACCAGCACTTGTGTCGGCCCGCCGAAGTTGCGCGCGCGGGTTCAGCAGTCTTCTTTCTCGCGAAAAAGGTGAGTCTCCTGACCCTTTCGGCCGTCACCACTCCGCCGGTATTCGTGCTTGCGCGGTGCCTCACGATGACGATGACGGTTAAAAGTTTGCACCCTTAATTTACAAAGGGACGCCCTGCCCTTAGTTTCCCAACATGACAAGTCTGGCACTCTTCCAGACCCAGACATTTTTACATTTGATATTCCATTCGGGGCGACGACCAAGTCACTGGGTGGGACGAAAACGCAGGTCCCGAGGGTTGGACGGCGCACACTGGCAATACATGGGACAAGATCAAGACGAAGGTCGGCACGAGGAATGTCCGTAAGGAGAAAGTTGTGGCTGTGCACTGCAGCACGAGACCCTGCCTTGTGCACGGCAAGGCCAACGGCCTTGAGGAGGGGGACAAGCAACTCTGCGTAGACAACGAGTGCTGCCTTTGGGGAGATATGTGCACTAGCCATCTTTTTGGCGCGTGTATTAACCGCGAGCGATACTGTCGCGCTGGCCCATACTTATGAAACAGCTACAGCACCTAGTACATCTCTACCAGAAGAAAAGAATTTGCGTTGCTGGTGTTTTGTTGTCACTCAATGCGCTGCACTGGACACCTGCCACGGTGCTCAACTTCTTGCTCCAAACGAAATGAAAAATGTATAAAGCGCACGGCTGAGGTTATTAAAGGCAAAAGCTTCAGAACAACGCGTCAACATGCGGAACACAAATCAAGCACGACTGCTTTCGTTTTGTGACCCTGCCGCAACAGGAAAAAAAACTCTAGCTAAAACAGTAGGGATGTGCCTGATCTGCTTTTCTGCGGGATATAGTCTAGACAATGTCAACCAATGTGGCGGCTCACCGTGCGGACAGGGAAAGAATTATCCCAGTCACCGAGTGACAGTCGATAGCTTGGACCTCGATACATCCATCAAATATCCATAGAAAAGCGCTAGTGTTACAGCCACGCGCCGCGACCTGTTGCCGTTGTGACGCCAGGGAAAGAACAAACTTACTCTGCATGAAGATCACAGAGCAGAAAATCACTTGCAGCGTAGAGACCAAAGAAGGGAAATAAACACGCACGCAAAGAGGGTCGCGTAGTAAAAGTAATATTTTTTCCAGCATGATATAACAACGTTGTCCGTCTTGCTTTTCGTTGTCGTGCTGCATGTGTAGTTGTAACACTTTTAGGCTTGCATATCAACCGTGTGGATTTCACCACTACCACGACCGCGCCGCCCACAACAAAACCTCCGACTACGACATCAAAGGCTCCTGGTCCTGCCGGTACAACAACATCAAAAGCTCCTTCCAACGTCGGAGACGGTGTAACCGACGCTCCCGAGGCAACGAGTGGTCCGGGTGGAACTACCGTGACTACCGCTCCAGCAACCGTGACGACTATCTCTCCCCCGTCCGGTGCTACAACTACGAGTCCCACACCACTACGCATTGCAAAAGTATCGCACTGCTCGTATAAATGCATTTACAAATTTCCTCAGCATGAAAAATAAGATTTGTAATGTTGATTTGCTTTGGGAACAAGATTTGTAATATGCCAGACTTGCATTTACTTACGAGTGCGATACTTTTGTAGTGGATAACCGCCCGCCAGCTGCAAGAACGCGACGGCCGCGAACACGACGGGGCTGCCGACACTCACCACCGACGAACTGAAAGCCATTGTTGACTCGGCTGGATTATGCATTGCAAAAGCATCGTACTAGTATAAGTTGCCTATACAAATTGTCGTAGCGTGACAGATGGAATTTGTAATGCTGCCTTAGCTGAGCAAGCCCATTTGTCATGCATATCTGCAATTAGTACGAGTATGATACTTTTGCAATTCATATGGATCCGGCGACGGCGACATCACCAACGCGGTACTGCCCGAGCTAGTCATATGGTAGTGTCAGGATCCAAATCGACAAAGTTGAAATAACTTGTAATGCATAAAATGCATGACGCGGAACAAGACGTGTGTTGCAGAGCAGGCAAGCGAGGCTTACTGTATTACAAGCCTGTTATTTGGGGTTAGACAAGCTCGAGCTGCTAAAGTAGCATGAGAGAATCAGTCCTTGTTTGCCTAAACAGCACGACAAACTGGATTTAGGCACCGCCAGAATTTGATGTCATGCGCCACTTAGAAACTGGGTTCCAACTGGCATCCATTTTATGCATGGCAAATTATTTCCACTTTGTCGATTTCGAACCTGACAGATCCATAAGTCAACCGCTGTGTGGACCCGGAGACAGCCAAAGCTGCGGCCGCGAAGATCGAGGTCGTGTTCATATGCATTGCAAAAGTATCGTACTCGTAGTTGTAATTGCAGTGTATGCATGACAAATCTCCTTTCTAAGGTAAAACTACATGACAAATGTAATTTTTCATGCTGAGTCAATTTGTGATGCAATTCATACTAGAGCTAGTGCGATGCTTTTGCAATGCATAGCTCATAGCAAAAGGCAACGTGGTGGAGGCCATTGAAGAGGCCGTCGAGCTGGTGGAACAGGAGACCATCGAATCTGTGGAGTCACCACCATCGACCGACTGCTGCAACTGTTGCTGCGCGATCGTTACCGTGGTGGTGCTCCTGCTCCTCACGGGCGGCGGCCTGTTGGCTTATTTTTTCCTCTTCACCGAGTCCGCAGAAAAGCAGGGCGCGAACAAGGGATTGGAAGCGGATTCCTATGAGCCACGCTTCTCCTTCGACGTGGTCCAGCAGGCCTTCATTGGTGCCGGTCTGTCGCCGGCGTACGCGAAAGTTTTGGCGCAGCAAATCGCGAACACGGACTCTGTATCCAGTGCAAAAGTATCGTACTCGTAGTAATTGCAATTATGCATTACAAATCTCCAGCCCAAGGTAAAACAGCATGACAAATTCCATTTGACAAATTCCATTTGACAAATTCCATTTGTCATGCTGATGCAATTTGTAATGCAATTACTACTGGTGCGATGCTTTTGGTTTTGCAATTCATACTCTGTGGAAGACGACGATGAGCTGTCGCGGCCGCAAACGGAACATGATGCGCAGATCATGAAGCGGCTCGGCCTGGATTTCTTCGACACCGAACCTGAGCGGGTCGGGCGGCTGCGGTATTTCCTGGAGGCGGTCGCGCGTGGCGAGCACGAGAAGCACAAGCAGGCCCGGCTTCTGTCCGGCGCGGCGGGCGCGAGTGAGTACCAATACGGAGGTGGTTTTGGGGAGCCAGAGGAGGAGCACGTTTTGACGGAGGCGGAGGCACGACTCAAACTCGAGGCGGCCGGTTTGTCGACGCAAGCGGCCTTTTTCGTTGCGGCACGGCTGCACGCAAAGATGCAGCAAGAATATGATCCGCAGTAAATTTAATATTCCCGTACATGATGATCACGACATACAGATCATGCGCTGTCTGCATGACAAAAGTTTCTTTCAATCCTGATCAGCATGACAAGTGGTGACATGCTCACCAAATTAGGATTAGCGGAATTATTTGTCATGCATTTTGTACTACGTGCTTGTAGTTTACGGGAAATCGAAATTTGTATTGCATAGAGAACACCCGAAAGACACGAAAGCGGCGGCCAAGGAAGTGATAGACGGCATTACGCAGGACGGGGACTGGTTGGCTTTCGCCTCGCCAGACGACATGGCGCAACTGAACACGCTTACAGACGGGAACGCCCAATTCTACAACAATTTCCAGAAGGCGAACACCAAGAAGAAGAAGACCTCGCGGCACTCTACTATGGTTCTCGATTTGCACGCTGTCTCGGTGACCGACCAGGACCCAGCGAACGCGTTGCAATTTGGGCACACCGAAACGGCGGGCGTGGTTACGGGGTTCCAAGTATCAAATGTAAAAATGTCTGGGTCTGGAAGAATGCAACTTGTCATGCTAAATCTGAAATATGTAAAAATCTGTGTTGCATGATTACCAAAAGTCGTCCAGTTTTGACCAAGTCGGGAGGGAGTTTCTCATGCAGGATAGGCATGAGAGAGATCGCGCAGAATCTGTCATGCTAGGTCCTGCATTCCAGATCTCATGGGTCATGGAAAATCTACATGACAAATCGCGCATTCTTCCAGACCCAGACATTTTTGCAATCCATACCAAGCTCTGATGCCCCCCAAAAAGCGGTACGACCTCAAGCTCCATCGAGAAACACAAGCGAAGAAGTATCCTGAGTACAAACGGTCCCACCTCATAGTCAAGATGGGAAATCTGCTAGACAAATCAACAAGCTTAAGTTGTTACGCATGACAAGTTTGGCCCTGTGGTGGAATCCTGTTTAGCGCGTTCAGAAGCATCGCAAGTCTAAGCATATCGCGCTGATTGGAGCACTACAAATTCCAAAGCGCGACTAGGAAACTCTTCTCATGCATGGGGCTCCGCATGAGAAACATTTTGAGCATGCGGATTTGCATGAAAACTATGGGGCGGGATGTTTTTACACAGGATAAGGAAAAATCCCGAATTACCACCGGCACCACGGTCAGCGACACAACTTCCGGAACGACCAGCGAGGGTGTAGTTCCTGGAGACGAAGATCACGCGCGAAAAAAGAAGAAGAAGAAGGTGAATAAAGCCGGGGCCAACATCAACAACAACATCACCGACCCGGTGCAAGAGCTGGTCGAGCCTGTGCAGCGGACTAGTAAACTTCGGGCCAGCAGTCGGGTGATTCAAGAGCACGGAGCAGCAGGTGCGCACCATACTACGACTTCAAATTCTGAAGGCATAACTTCCACTTCGGACGCATCTGCTATTGAGAGGAAAAATCCCCCCTCCCCATATTGAAAAGGCATGTTTCCGAAAATTTGTGTTGCTGATTTGAGGTCACAAATCGCAATTGTTTTGCAAGAAGACAAGGGCAGAAGCTTCCGCCCCATTATGGAGGCGATTTGTCATGCTGTTGGGCGTAAAGGGGAGCCGCCTGCCATGCTGAACAACTAGACGCATACGCCCCTCCCTAGCTTGGGGATCTGACCGCAATGCTTTCCTGCAATACAAAGCTGATTTGCGTACCCAAATCCAGCATCAGAAATTTCGTTTTGATATGGGGAGGGGGGATTTTTCCTTGCAATATCTGCTTCCGACACGTCCGGTGGAGAGGAAGCGCACGGCAAGGGGCCTCAGAAAAAGAAGAAGAAGAAGGTCGTATCATTTGTAAAAACGTCCCCACACCAGAGTCAAGATGGGGAATCTGCTAGACAAATCACCCAGCTTTGGTCGTTTGGCATGACAAGTTTCTCCTCGTGCTGTAATCCTGTTTAGGTAGTTCAGCAGCATCACAGATCCAGTATATCATGCGGATTGTAGTATCACAAATTCCAAAGCACGACTAGAAAATGCCTCTCATGGCGCTCCGCATGACAAACTTTTTTGGCATGCAGATTTGCATGACAACTCTGGTGTGGGGACGTTTTTCCTCAGGATAGGTCGTGGCGGGTACATCGACGAAGCAAGCGAAGCAGGGCGAAGCGGACGCATCCATGGAAGCGGCCGAGAAGGAGCTGCTGAGCGAAGCGAAGTATGCATTGCAAATATGTCTGGGCTAGCAGGAAGGTGGAATTTGTGATGTGTGTTGCAGATCATACAAAAATCTGTGTCGCATGACTTGCAAAAGGTGCCCACTTCTGGCCAGCCTGAGAGGGTATTTGTTTCTCATGCAGAATAGGCATCACTAAGAGGCTGCAGAACCACTTGTGATGCTAGGCCCTGCATTCCAGATGTGGGGCAGCTTGGAAAAACTGCATGACAAATTTCGAAATCTTCCAGACCGAGACAAATTTGCACTTGATACGAAGCGCGCACTCGCGGACGTCGGCTTTTCGAAGCAGCAGGCGACACTCTATGCAATACAAATTTCCCGTACATGTTGTACAAGATGCATCACAAATTTCACCAATTTGGAGTGTAGTAACACTTGGCATGCTGAATTAGGATCAAAGCCCAATTTTGTAATTCAGAGACTGCATTTGTACGTCGTGTACGGAAAATTTGCTGTGGATACACTCCTTGCGAACCGCATTGCGGGCGTTCGCGCGGCGGAGCTGCGGTCGCAGAACATGAAGCTCACCGACGAGGAAAAAGCCATCGCCCAGCGGGGCCTCAACGGCGCGAAAATTTTGGATCTGAGTGACTTAGTGGACGAACTGGTGGCCCAGAAAGCCAGCTTCTTCGTGAAAACGCTCGCTCCCACCTCCACCATGCAGTCTATGCGGGTTATCCCGAACAAAAACATCCCCATTCCACAGTTGTCATGCAAATCCGCAAGCCTAAAATGTCTCTCATGCGCAGCCCCATGGCAGCCATTTTCCAATGCTACCGGGGAGTTTGTGATGCTGGAATCAGGATAAGATAGTCAATTTGTCATGCTGATGCACTAGCTAAACAGGATTACACTACGGGCCCAAACTTGTCATGCTCGAAAGCCAAAACTTGGAGACTTGTATTGCGCTTTTGCCAACTTGACCATGGGGCGGGGACGTTTTTGCTCAGGATACGGGTCAGCGCCCGCCCGGTATCTATGTTGGCGGAACGGTGCATTATGCATTGCAAAAGTATCGTACTAGTAGTATGAATTGCATTACAAATTTTCTCCGCATGAGAAATGGAATTTGTAATGCTGATTGACCTTAGGAAAAAGATTTGTAAAAATGCATAACTGCAATTACTACGAGTGCGATACTTATTTTGCACAGGATATGCATGACGGGGCAGCCATTGTCGATGCTGGCCAGTCGGATGGAAGGTGGTGGTGACCATGCTGGTGGACACAAAAAGCACAAAGTGAAAACCAAGCACTAAGACCACTCGGTCGTGGCCCCGAGCTGGCCGAAGTGAGGAGGATTGTTAAAGAAAAGGAAATCGTTGGCATCCTCGAGGGGCGGAGGATTTTCACACCTGCTTTTCACGAATTTGTTTCAAAAAAGTAAATAGTAATTTCAAGTAGTTCAATCACAGTACAACCTTTAATCAAAAAATTATGTTATTCATCTTAACACACTGGATTTCAACAAGTTTACTTTACATATATCATTTTACAACTATCGTTTCGCATGCCTCAAGTTTACATATTTCATTTACACATAGTCTCTTCATCTTAAACAACAATTTTACATATTTCATTCACACAGCACCACAACAATCATTTTTCTTTTTTGCTTTTCGACCCAAATCCAACACAACCACGCTGTGACGATCGAAAATGGTAGACATACCCTGTCTAAGTAAATGATGGCACTCAACATCTTCCATCAAGCGATGAAGCTCGTGCCCCCTGAGCACCGTTTTTCTTTGCCGCAGAGTCAGCACGTACTAAAGGTACTTACTAGTGCCACCGGATGAAAACGGTTTCGGTTGCCCCCACCGGATCCTTCGTCTGCAGCTTTTTAAGCCTCGAATAGAAAGAACCCAGCAGAGTGTTTTTAGAAATTGCATAAGTCCCCAAAAGAATTAAAGACTGCAAGAACACGGCATGCTTCTACATTACTTTTTTCTCAGAGGAGGCTACAGGAAGTTGTTGTGCTGACGGCAGAACAAGTAACCGGTGTAGGAGTTGCTGCAGCAGAAATGACAGAAGGACCTGCCAACATTTTCGCTCTTTAGATTCAGATTTATTGCAAACAAGACGCTATTTTGTACTAGGCATTGTTCGTCACCACGATAGACAAGCGCTGTGCGATGGGCAGGATCGCGATGGTCCTATGTTCATTGTTCTGGTACTGGTGAAAAAAGCAACCGCCACCAACATCTCGTCGTGGTCGTGCGCCTTCTCATACGTAAGAACAAGTAGATGTCGTGGGAAAGCCGACGTAGCCGACGCCTGCTAACAGCGCAAAGATAATGACACGTCCTACCTACTCTTTTCTTTGAAGAGTTTGTAGCAGCATCCAGGTCCAACTCGTTGCAAATCGGTTTTCAGTTTCTCGTATGCCACTCGGTCGTATGCCACTCGTAGTGCCACTCGCAGCACTAAGACCACTCGGTCGTGGCCCCGAGCTGGCCGAAGTGAGGAGGATTGTCAAAGAAAAGGAAATCGTTGGCATCCTCGAGGGGAGGAGGATTTTCACACCTGCTTTTCACGAATTTGTTTCAAAAAAGTAAATAGTAATTTCAAGTAGTTCAATCACAGTACAACCTTTAATCAAAAAATTATGTTATTCATCTTAACACACTGGATTTCAACAAGTTTAC